GTCTCTACCATTACCACTCATGAACACAGACACACAGAGATATGCACAACCTCCACTGCTACCACTCATGAACACAGACACACAGGGACATGCACGGTCTCCACCACTGCCACTCATGTACACAGATGCACAGAGACATGCACAACCTCCACTGCTACCACTCATGAACACAGATGGACAGAGATATGCACGGTCTCTACCATTACCACTCATGAACACAGACACATAGAGATATGCACAACCTCCACCACTACCACTCATGAACACAGACACACAGGGACATGCACGGTCTCCACCATTACCACTCATGTACACAGATGCACAGGGACATGCACAATCTCCACCACTACCACTCATGTACACAGATGCACAGGAACATGCACAACGTCTACCACAAGCCACTCATGTACACAGACACACAGGGACATGCACAACCTCCACTGCTACCACTCATGTACACAGATGCACAGGGACATGCACAATCTCCACCACTACCACTCATGTACACAGACACACAGGGACATGCACAATCTCCACCACTGCCACTCATGTACACAGATGCACAGGGACATGCACAATCTCCACCACTACCACTCATGTACACAGATGCACAGGGACACGCATGGCCTCCTCCTGGTGACTTTGCTGGTCTTCTCTCAGCCTGCTAGGTCCTGTGTTCAGGACAACTGTTTTGCTTTGGTCTTTTTTTTTTTTTTTTACTGCTTTCAACTTTTTCCCTCTGCATTTCTTTAATCTGTAGACTATTTGTTACCATTCCCCTTGTGCCTCTCATTGCCTGTGGATTCAAACACACATTAAGTCTGGATCATAAAGAGCCTGAGAATTTTATTGGCGCTTCATGTTGGAACAATATTTTTAAACTTTCTGTATCTTAAAAAAACAAAAGTCTCTAAGAAGTGGTTTTGTCATTCTTTTTTTTTTTAACCTTGGCCTGTAGTTGTATCTTGTAGGTATATATGATTTAAAGTTCCTAAAAGTTTTCCTGGCTCCCTAAGGTTCTTGAAGGTGGTATCTGAGGGTGTTGGCTTGTTCCGTGGCCACATGTTTAGTGGATGCCTCACTGCTCTCTGGTGGCCAGCTTTGTGTACTTGAGATCAATCGTCTTCCCAACTGCTACTTGTGTGTAAGACTTTCAAATGATCATGCCACCAAGTGTCCACTCAAGGTTAGTGGCTCACCCCTGTAATCCTAACTACTCAGGAGGCTGAGATCTGAAGATTGCAGTTGAAAGCCAAGCAGTCCAAGCAGGAAAGGCTGTGAGACTCTTATCTCAAATTAACTACCAGAAATGGAGCTGTGGCTCAAAGTGATAGAGTGGTAGCCTGGTAGCCTTGAGTGAAAGAGTTCAGGGACAGTGCCCAGGCTCTGAATTCAAGCCCCCCACCTCCCCCCTCCCTCCATCTTCCTCCTCCCCCTCCAAAAAAAAAACCTCAAGTCTTACAGGAGAACATGTATAGTAGTACCTGAGAGCAGCAATAATGGAAGTTGTAAGAGGCAAATAAGCTTTACTGTCTTTATAGATCCCTGATGGGAAAAAAAATCTAGAAGGAGATATACAAATGGAAATGTTAATTAGGTTTAGAATGTGGAACTGGGATAATGGGAAATTTTATCTTTTATACATGTACAGTCAAGATATATCTCTTTGCCTTTATTTTTCCTTGTAGTTATCATATACTTTTATGGATGCTTATGCTGATGAAGATCCTTTTTCTTTTGTACTATAGAGAGCTGTAGTGCATATGGATGAAAGACGAGAAGAGCAAATCGTGCAGCTGCTGAACTCTGTCCAAGCTAAGAGTGATAAAGACCCTGAAGCTCAGATTTCCTGGTTTGCTCCTGAGGATCATGGGTAAAACAGCAACAAAAACTGTTCTTTTAAGGAATAGGCAAAGAATAATACCTCTTATAGCATTGGCAAGAAAAATAGTTATAAGAAAAATACCATGATTATTAGGTTTTCCAGTGAATGAAAGTCAGTCTTGCCAGAGAAAAAATAAGAAGAGTTTAGACTGCATGCAGTCTGAGTAGGTATGAGATGTATGTTACTTGTATTTCGTATTCACCATTTTTGGTATTTCTGAAATTCTGGTGGGAAGGGTTTCATAGTTAAATTGTGCTGTTTTAGTAAGGTTACTAGAACTATATCTTGTATAGGAAAAAATTAGCAGTATTTCAGGCACTATATAATGTGGTGTCTTATTTATAGCTAAGAAAAGAATATCTGGAAGAAAAGATGTGAAATCCCACAAAATCAGAAAAAGAGAAAACACTGGACAGCTGCAATAGGGGAATGACTGTTGGATTTTTATTTTTTAAACCAATCCAAGGATGTATGGCAATATTTGTGTATGAGGAGGGAAAAATTTGGCTCTCTTCTAAGAATATACATGCTTCATAGCTGCTTGGAGGAGCAGAGAATATAAGCTCTCCCTGGGCTGGTTTTCAAATACTTAGACAGGTAGTGGTTTGTTTTGGGCTTGAGTGGCTCTTACCTTTTTTCACTTTTAATATTGTCAAACCAGATATGGTGCTGAAGTTTCTGCTGAGAAAAAAACAAACTCAGAGAAGAAAGTTGACAAACAGGAAAAGAAATTGATGAGCCAAGAAAAAAAGATACTTAGAATTAGGGATAAATCCACCTTTGAACGAGATTCTGAGTATCTTTTGCAAGAAAATGAACCAGATGCAACCTTAGACCAAAAATTACTGGAAGATTTACAAAAGAAGAAAAGTGACGCTCGGTATATTGAGATGCAGGTAACAGAAAACTGGATCATTCACTACTTGTATGTGAGGGCTGAGCAGGTATATTGATGTATAGAGTTCCATTAAAATTTTCAAAATTAGTAGAAATCTGTTATAGAAATAAAGGAGTTAGTCCCTTTGTAATATTCTAGTTTAACTCATTGTAATGTCAATTGCTTAGCATCTGGTTTATGTCATAAAGTGTTACATGCTTTTTAAATGAAGGTTTTTTTCATTGATGGAAGAATCTTTGAAGCCTTTGTGCTTGAGTCTGGCTTCCTTGACATTGCAGTTGTGAAATGAGTTCTGGGTATTGAGCTTTCCCTTACTCTCCCAGGCAAGCACCCTAAAATTGTCTTCAGTCTTGATCTTGTGCCTGCTGCACCAGGAAATGGTACACTGATCAGTGGGGAGAGGAATGTGATGAAGACATCAAGTCTAGGGGACATACAAAACATATTCAAGAGTGATAAAGTAGTGAGTGGTGTATCAGTTAGATGATAGTTCAGATTTTACTTCTAACTTTGAAGAAGAGTTTCTATTAGATATGATGGAACTGTATAAATATTTCAAAAATGTAATTGTTTTTTGTAAGGTTTTTTAAAAGTCTGATACGTTACATATTCCTTATGGTAATGAAAATACTTTTGGATTCTAGTACATCTAATATATCCTTTGATTGTCATTATTATAATCTGATTCCATTTATTTTGTGAAAGTTGAAAACTTCCTTTTAAATTTCAGCGTTTCAGAGAAAAGCTGCCTTCCTATGGAATGCAGAAGGTAAGTTGCTTTGTACTTGTTAGCTTGATGTGCAAAATAGAGCACTTTCTAGGAGAGCTCTGTGCCAGGAAAAAAAAGTAGATGTTAATGAGCCTTAAACGGAAGTCAGTAATTTTTTTTAGTGGTTTTGGGGTAAAATAGAAAAAAAATAAAACAGTCATAAAACAGTTATCTGGAAGATTTCCGTAATTTAAATCTTTAGAGTTTAGAAATAGAACTTTCTTACATGATAACATGAATACTTTGCTCTTAATTCACAACTGAACACTTGATGAAAATCAAAATGCTGCTAAGCTGTAGCACTTGAATTTATTAGTGACCCTTCATCATAATTATTATATAGAATAATGTCCTCTGTGCTGCTCGGTCCTCCCAGTCTTATTTATTTTATTTTTCTTTGCTTTTCATAGCACACTTATTGCCACCTGACATCTGTGTCTTCCCCTCATAGTCCAGTGTAAGTTCTTGCGGACAGGGTGTTTTATTCTTTTTCTGTCTCTTGAATCAGGAGTACCTGGTGTTACATAGACATCAGTAAATATTTGTGAGTGAATGCATTCTGCTTTGTAGCACAGCCATGCCCTGGTGTCCTTGCAGGCTGGCTCTAAAATCTCTTAAGTGAAATGAGTAGTGTTTGTGTGACGCCCAGAATAGCCTCTTTCAGTCTTCAGGTCATCGTTGTTTTATTTGTACAGAAGTGCTTAGGAAATGATAACAGAAAGGGGTTGTATCCCTACAGGTATTGGTTCATTGCTTCAAACTTGGTATGGAGGACCAACTGCATGTACTGGCCATAGTGTCCGTGTTCCCACTGAAACTTCTTGGCACATACTTTGTTAAATGGGTGAGAATTTTCTGTGTGTGCCAGTCCTGAGGCTTAAACTAAGAGTCTGGCCACTGTACCTGAGCTTCTTTTGCTTAAGGCTAGCACTCTACCACTGGAGCCACAGCACCACTTCTGGCATTTTTTGTTTATGTAATAACTGAGGAAATGAACCCAGGGCTTCATGCATGCTAGGCAAGCACTCTACTGCTAAGCCACCTTCCCATCCCTGAAGTAATCTTGAAAGCAAGTAACAGTTGGTTGAGTTTCTCCTTGTTGAAACAGTTCAAAACTTGTCCAGCAGCAAAGCAGCAAAGCTGAATCTATGAAATATGTAATGACTAGTGACGCGCAGAAGCTGCTCAGGCTGAGGATTTGTCTTCTGTCCCAGCGTCTCAGGTCTCAACATATTTTCTAGTTTTGCATTAATAGATTGACAGAACACAGGTTTCAACACTATTGTTTCGAGTTAATATAATTGACCGCACAGGGGGTATCATCCTGGTCTTTTCAGGGCATTTTTCTTCAGCAGTATCTTAGTTCTGTGTTTCATAACTTCCTTATGTGAAGTAAATACTTAACTATTGAAAAGTGGTAGAGCTAGATATACAGCTGCCACCTATCATTGGATAGAACTCTGATTAGCACCTTTTATGACATAGTCAACGTGATATCTTTTGCTTATTTTAGGAGTTGGTGACTTTGATTGATAAGCATCAGGTAACCGTGATAAGTGGTGAAACTGGTTGTGGCAAAACCACCCAGGTCACTCAGTTCATCTTGGACAGCTACATTGAACGGGGCATGGGCTCTGCGTGCAGGATTGTCTGTACCCAACCACGGAGGATCAGCGCCATCTCTGTGAGTGAGCCTGCACTCTCCATGCCCCCTCCCTGGAAGGGGTTTCACTAGAGCGTACTCATTTTAACATTTGGAACAAGTCTTAATGAGGGTTCGGATTTGTTCCTGTGTGAGCAAATAATTTGATAGTAAAGATCAAAAGATTGGAGTGTCATCTCTCACAGATTAACTTGAAAAATGTCAATGTAAATCCAAAAACAATGAAAAGTTAATATAAAAATGCTCATATTATTAATGACAAGCTCTAAATAATCTTAATCAGTAGATGCTTTAAATTCTGCTACCTTAGACTGAATGTGGTGGTGCATACTTGAAATCCCAACTCCACAGAGATTGGAAAGATTGTGGTTTGAAACCAGCCTGGCCATATGGTTAGTGATACTAGTTGTCAGCACAACAAGCTGGGCATGGTGGTACGTGTCTATACTCCCAGCTGCGTGGGACTCATAGGTAGGATGCTGACCAGGGTTGGGCCAGGGAATAAGCTGAAACAACCTGAAAAATAGTAAAGCACAAAGGATGAGGAGTTTAGAGAGCATGCTTTGAAAGCAGGGCTTCCCAGGTTCTAACCCCCAGTACCACCAAACAGGAAAAAATGTTTTGCCATGTGGCTTATTGTTTTCATGTCTTTGATTTTCAACACATAATATACTGGGTGGAGCAAAGTGAGAATCCTTTCCTTTATTTATGAAAGGTACATTTTTATCCCCAGCAATAATTAAAAAAAAAAAACTCCAGCTGTGCAATAAGATTGCTTTTTTTTCCCCTCTAACACCAGGGCTTGAACTCTGATTTTTACACTCACTTGAGTTGCTTGCTCACAGCTGGCACACCTTCTGTTGGTTAATTGGAAATGAAGTCTCAAGGACTTCTATACTAACTAGCTCTGAACTTCAGTCTTCCATATCTCAGCCTCCGAAACAGCTGGGATTACAGGTGTGAGCCACTAGATCTTGATTTCAGAAGTCTATTATAACAAAAACTAGACCATTGTTTATTTAAAATGATCAGCATAGCTGATCAGTGTTAATCCAAAATTTCAAAAGAAAGGCATAAGTTATAAGTACATGTTACACAAATAACCTTTTGATGGCCTTTTTGATAAAGTTTTCTAGTTTAATTGTAAGTTTTATACTGTAAAAATGTTTGAGGTTTTTTAGGATACTCAGTGAATTTATAAGTCTTTCATAATTCCATGTGCATATAAATTATGAAGGTTTTTGGTTGTTCTTATTTTTGTTTATTTTTTGCTGGTCCTGGGGCTTGAAGTCAGGACCTGGGCACTCTCCCTGAGCTTTGTGCCCAAGGTTAGCACTCTACCACTTAAACCACAGTGCCACTTCCAGCTTTTTCTCAATAGTTTATTGGAGATAAGAGTCTCACAGACTTTATTGTCCAGGCTGGCTTCAAATTGTGATCCTCAGATCTCAGCCCCCTGAGTAGCTAGGAGTATAGACATAAGCCACCTGGCTAGTTATTTTATTCTAGTAATTGAGTATAGAATTTGTGGCTAGGAACTCCATTACTGATTATGGCAATAGACAGTATGCATTTCAAGCTATGCACAGTGTACATTAAGTAAACCAACTATCTAACCATTGTTTGGGGGAGTCATGTACCTATAAAACACACAAGACCACAGAAAGGTGAAAATTGTCAATAAGCAACTATATAGCTACATAAATATTTTCATTGGTGGTATGTGTGTGTCAATCATGTATTGATAGTGAAAGAATGCTATATAGATTGTTGTGATATTTTTTATGATGAGGTGGATTATAATGGTACATACTTGTCCTTCCAGGTTTCAGGAAAGTATGTCAGTACAGGCAGAGTTAGTAGAGCCTGTCTCCAGAGCAGAATGTGAACTAAAGGGCTAGGTCTGGTCCCAGTGGTAGCTAATGTGAGGCTCTGGGTTCAATTGACAGTATTTCAGGAGGGAAAAAAATGAAAGAAGAAAGTTTACACAGTTTGAGATATCTTAGATTTTAATAAGTATCTCTTACTTTTTAAACTCTCTGAAAATCAGAACTTGCATTTCAGCAATTCAGGATTCTCATGAACATTCAGAATATTTGACCTAAACAAGTTTATATTCATGTTTCATTGGAATTTCAGGTTGCAGAGCGAGTGGCTGCTGAGAGGGCAGAGTCCTGTGGCAATGGTAATAGCACTGGATACCAGATTCGTCTCCAGAGGTAAAGAACACCAGCTCCTGTAGACTGCACAGTCTATAGAAGTTTCTGTACAGGAACACCCCCTGTTCTCACTTTGATTGTTGATCTACAGTTAACCCTTACAAAAGCTGTACTGTGGGGAGAGAACTTGCTTCCACAAACGCATACCATAACCTTTGCCCTTTTGATGACTAGAAAGGTTTCCTCTTTTTTTTGGGGGGGGGGGTCTGGTCATGGGGCATGAACTCTAGGCCTGGGCGCTGTCACTCAGCATTTCAGCTCAAGGCTAGAGCTCTACCACTCAAGCCACAGCGCCACTTCTGGCTTTTTTTTTTTTTTGCTTATGTGGTACTGAGGAATCGAACTCAGGGCCTCATGCATGCAAGGCAAGCGCTCTACCACTGAGCCACCTTCTCACCCCAAGGTTTCCTCTTATAGAAGGTAGTGTTCAGGATTTCTTGTTACCACCCTGATTGGTTTTGTTGTCTTTCACCTTCCATCCAGAAATAACATTCCCAAACATATTTGTACTTCTTCAGTAAATACTACTTTTTTTTCTGTGTTTGTGCTGGTCCTGGGGTTGATTTCAGGGACTAGATGTTGTCCTTGAGCTTTTGTACTCAAGGCTAGAGCTCCACCTCTTGAGTCATAGCCCACTTCTGGATTTTTTGATAGTTATTTGGAGATGAGAGTCTCACAGGCTTTCCTGCAAAGGCTGGATTTGAACTGCCATCCTCAGATCTAAGCCTACTGAGTAGCTAGGATTATAAGCATAAACCATCAGTGTCCAACAATATTATTGTTTTGTGTGTTTTAATGACACTGTCTAAATTCTTTTGTGACATGGTCCCTCAAAATCATGTGTTAAAGAGCTAGCCACACTGGGTTATGACATCCATGTAGGAGGAGGATATTTCTGGGTCATAGGGAAAGCAGTTCTAAGAGAGTACAGTACAGAAACAGTCAGTGTTCTGAGAACAAAAAGATTCTTGCAACTTGGGAGGTCTCTTGTATAATTCCTTAGTTCTTGAGCTCAAGATCCCTCTTACTTAAACTAGCAGACTTTGCAGTCACCAACCAGAAGGTTAGAGCTTAGAAGTAGTGTATGTTTTCTCTGAATGTTCTTGGTTGTACCTTCCAGAAGAAACCATTGTCCTTGTGTCGTGATGGAATGAATGCAGTATATAAAGAAACATCCCAATACTCCATTCTGTAGGTGGATGGTGTTACGAAAGTGTGAAGGTTCTTCAGTAAATTATTAGGAAAGAAAACTAAAAACCTCCTATCTTTCATTCACAGTCGGTTGCCGAGAAAGCAGGGTTCCATCTTGTATTGTACCACAGGAATCATCCTGCAGTGGCTCCAGTCAGACTCGTGAGTATGTTTCAACTGAAGAATTCTCACACTATCCAGAGATGCCAATATTAAACAGAATCCTGCTAGTTTCAGGTTTATATTCTCGCTTAAAAACTTCACACTTCTCTTTCAGGCTTTTGTCCAGTGTTAGTCATATTGTACTTGATGAAATTCATGAAAGAAATCTGCAGTCAGACGTTTTAATGACTGTTGTTAAAGACGTTCTTAATTACCGCTCTGACCTAAAAGTCATTTTGATGAGTGCAACATTGAATGCTGAGAAGTTCTCAGAATATTTTGGTGAGTAAAAACTGCACTATAGGGACTGGGAAGGGGGGCTCAGTGGTAGAGTGCTTGCCTAGCATGCATGAGGCCCTGGGTTCGATTCTTCTGCACCACATAAACAGAAAAGGCTGGAAGGGGTGCTGTGGCTCTAGTGGTAGAGCGCTAGCCTTGATCTGAAGAGCTGAGGGACAGTGCCCAGGTCCAGAAGTCAGGCCCCATGATCGACAAAAACAAAATATGGTACTACTCAGAAAAAGCAAAAGAAAACTTTCTGGAAAACTGATAGGATACTCAGCGTAGGTGAGTCCAAAGAAGTGATTAGTAGTTGATTTTACTTCAACAGTACCTTGCCCACTAGTTTCCAGGGTTAGAGAACTGGGTTTTTTAATAGCTTCACTTTTGTCTCACAGTAGATAGGGGAGTCAGGTTGGTGAAGCCACGAGGTAGTGAAGTGGGGCCACAGAAGTCAGAGTGACCTTGGATGAACCTGAGATTCCCTGTGGCTTTTTGTACTGTGGTCACAAGCAAGGCTGGCAGTGTGCTGCCAGTACTGCTGGTGATCAGGTAGGAAACTCTGCCAACTGTGCTGGGGAAGGGTGTTTGCCACTGTCTGCATTCATTCTTGGAATGCCTGGCCAGGGAGGTCTTCTCCTTACTTGTCACCATGAGAAAGCAGCCTGGTGACTTACACAGGAGGAGAGATGATTCCTGTCTTCGTGGTTCTAGTTTCAGTGATAAAAGTGGGGAAAGAGGAAGGAAAGGATTAACATAGAATACATGTATGTTAATCTGATTTTTGGCTTTTCAAAAGTGTCTCAGTTAATCCTTATGAGATTATGAGATGAGTTGAGACAGGTGTCCCATCCTTTTTAATGAGCCCTCCAGAACTAGCATGGGGATTTATACAGATCAGTTTTATACAGATCATCATATTTATGCAGTATGCATATTTATGTAGTAGCTCAGGCATTTTGACCCAATGCTGTATTGTGTTGGTGTCGTGTGCTGCTTAAAAAAGTTTAAGGTAAAGTTAAATAAAGTTTAGATGAAAGATGCTGAGGCAGCCATATTTAGTTACTTTAAAGTAGTAGTAATTTAAGATTTGTTTGGGTCTTGTTTTGACCCGTTTTCCCCTATGGGCTATGCACGAATGACACGCTTGATTCAGGTGTTCATTGTCATGGCAGCAGAAGGAAGAAGGAGACTTGTGATGGTTTTCTGAGTCTAACTTAAAGTTGCTGCATTCTTTGACGTCTGTGCTGTGTAAAACTGAGGTGTGTGTGTGGTTCAGAAGTAAAATCCTAAGTTAGGCAAGGCTGCTGATTTGTATTGCACTAGATAAGGAACAGTGGAGATAATGCTGCTGTTCATTATGCTGTTGATGGTGTGTTGATTTCTCCTTTGTCACCAGAGGTAACTGCAATGGTTTCTTCTTTATCACCATAGGAAACTGTCCAATGATACACATTCCTGGTTTCACTTTCCCGGTTGTGGAATACCTTCTGGAGGATATCATTGAAAAAATAAGGTAAAAAGATTGGGAAATTAAAGAAATTAGGAAGTAATGGCATGTCACCTTTCTCGTCAGAAAGTCCCAACCTGAGTGTTGACCTTTTCCTTCATTATTTTTCTATGTATTGGCTTTATGTTAGTTACCTCCAGTTTCAAAATTCCATTTCTTCACTTATACTCTATATTTTAACTGCTTTACAAAGTTGTGTTAGTAACCAAGAATCAGGTTTTTGTTGTTTGTTTGCTATTTTGTTTTGAATGAATGTTTGAGATTAAACTTAGGACCTTAATAGCCACAGTTCCAGTCTTTCTGTTTTTCACAGAGTTTTGTGCTTGAGTCCAAGCTAGCCTAAGACCCAACATCCCTCTACCTCTACCTGCCGAGTAGCTAGGTACATGGCTATTTCCAGCTTTTTACCCAGGCCATCTTCAAACCTTATTTCTCCTCTTTCTGTCTCTTGAGTAGCTAGGATTATAAGTGTAAACAACCATGCCTGGCAGGAGACAGTTTTTTTTTTTTTTTAAGGATACTTGAATAGGAAAGTTTGTGATCTGTCTTGGGTGCTCATACCTCTCGTTTGGCTGTCCTGCCTCATCTTCATTCTCTATTGTTGGCTTTCATTGCCCACCCTAGAATTTTCATTCTTTTCTCCATTTTCACCTGTTTTATGTTTTTCCTGTGACCTTGGTTCTGTTTCACAGCTCCTTAGTGCTGTGGCTTTAAGATGAATTCTGCTGAGTAGGGTGGCTCAGTCCTCTAATTCATAGTTAATTGGGAGATGGCGATGAGGTTAGTGAGTTAGGATTTGAGGCCAACCGAGGAGTGCTCATCTTCCAAGTTTACAAAACTCCATCTCAGCCAGTGGCCGAGCCTGTCATCCCAGGGACAATGAGCCATGGAGTGACAGGCACAGTGGTGTGCGCTTGTCATCCCAGGGACAGTGAGCTATACTGTGACAGGCACAGTGGTGTGAGCCTGTCATCCCAGGGACAGTGAGCTATACTGTGACAGGTTTAGTGGTGTGAGCCTGTCATCCCAGGGACAATGAGCCATGCAGTGACAGGCACAGTGGTGTGAGCCTGTCACCCCAGGGACAGTGAGCTGTACTGTGACAGGCACAATGATTTGAGCCTGTCACCCCAGGGACAGTGAGCTGTACTGTGACAGGTATAGTGGTGTGAGCCTGTCATCCTAGGGACAGTTGAGCCATGCAGTGAAGGGTACAGTGTTGTGAACCTGTCATTCCAGGGACAGTGAGCCGTGTAGTGACAGGCACAGTGGTGAGAGAAGTACTCAGGCACGGTGGGCCTCGCGTGCACTCCCCCACTCTACCACTGCCTGACTGCTATAACAACCCTTCCCTTCCACTGTGAGGTCTGAGAAGCAAGGGTGAGGAAGACAGAGGGGGCAGAGGAGAGGCAAAGGGAAAGGAAGCTGCTTGAACCATGAAGCTTCTCGGTATCTGGAAGACCGGGCAGAGAACAGGCAAAGAATAGGCAGAGGGCGGGAGTGTAGGGCAGGATGGTCTGGAGAATGGGCAGAGAATGGGCAGAGGGGAGGTTTTGGGCAGAATGGTCTGGCAGGTGTGCCCAGGGCTGAGGTGATGGAGGTTACTTCTGGTGTATGGTGATGTGTGAGCTCGCTCTTTCTCTCTCTCTCATTACTCCTGAGCTTGGTACCTTAGTGCTAGGGGAATGAGTAAGAGGGACTGACACTTTGTGGTGTCTTCTGTGTATCAGGCACTGTTGCTACTGCTTGTTATTGCTAGAAGAGCATTAATCACTCAGAATCACCAAAGGCTAGAAGTTGAATGTTCATGTGGGTCGCACAGCCAGCCACCGGTATAGCTTGGGGCATCCATCTGGCTCCAAAGCCCATGCTCCACACCCACTGCCCATTCTCTGCCTGTTTCCCGCCCAGTCTCCCAGATGCTGAGGGGCTTCACGGTTCAAGCAGCTTCCTTTTCCTTTGCCTCTCCTCTGCCCACCTCTGTCTCCCCTGCCCCAGCTTCGCAGACCTCACTGTGGAAGGGAACGGTTCTTACAGCAGTCAGGGAGGGTGGTGGAGTGAGGGAGTACGCACTAGGCCCACCATGCCTGAGATGAGGTGCTGATTGTGATCTCCATTTGCTCTGATGGATGGACCTGTGAGCAGAAGGATGGTGCTTCAGCCTGTGTCTCTAGGTCTGCAGCAGCACTGCATCTCCTGCGTCGCTAGTAAGTGATCAAAAGTGAGCGAGAAATGCTGCCTCAGAGATTCTCATCTGCATTAAAAATGCAGGTTTGGACAACTCCTGTTTGTAAAGTCTGAGTCTTTCTAGTAGGCAGGCATTAACTATCACTTTGGACTTAATACTTTTGCTTTAGAGCCTAAAGATGAAAATTACTATTTTTTAAATTTTTGCTGCCAAAGATGTTCTAAAAATTTATTATATATTTCAATAGAGAAATTACCTGAAATGTCAAGTTTTATGTACTAACAGAAACTTAGAAGTTATTTTAACTACCATTCACCGGAAAGTATAGTAAAAGTATTCTTTATAATCTTTTCTTCAAAATTCTTAAGGTGAACATATTTTTAAGAGCCTTGCTGGACAGGCTGGCACGTGCTGTGGCTCTAATCACTGCACTCAGGAGTGGAAGAAGCAACTTCGAGCAAAGTACTTTCTCAGTTTTTTTTTCCTTTTTCTTTATTTTAGATATGTGCCAGAACAGAAAGAGCACAGATCCCAGTTTAAGAGGGGTTTCCTGCAAGGCCATGTAAATAGAAGAGAAAAAGAAGAAAAGGAAGCAATCTATAAGGAGCGCTGGCCAGACTATATACGAGAACTGAGAGGAAGGTAAGGCCACATTCCAGGGTGAGAAACCATGGTTGAAATAGACACTGTTGCCTTCCCAGTTCTGAATGTTCTCAATAGTGTTGTGCATCTGATTTCACACTAACACACCACATTATCCCTGTAATCCTTCCTCTGTAGATTCTATTTCTTGGTTTAAACTCTCATAGAGACTTAAGCAAAATTATGGAGTATTTGCTGGTTTTCTGATTAACTTGGCAGGTATTCTCCAAGTACCATCAGTGCTTTGGAAATGATGGATGATGATAAAGTTGATCTGAATTTGATTGCTGCTCTGATTCGACACATTGTTTTGAAAGAAGAGGTGGGTTGTTGCTTTGCTTTCTATAGATAATGCGATTTTACTTTTATTACTGTATTAAAGTTGTGGAAAAAATGTTTTTTAAATCTTTTTTAAAAAGCACATTAAAAAAAGCGGTGGGCTTGAGCCTGAGCTGGCCCATCTTCCTTAAAGTCTGCCTGATCACTTTCTGGCATGGCCACTTTAAACAAAAAAACAAAAACAGGAATAGATTGTGAAAGAATAGTTTTTGTTTTAATACTGAAGTAGCCTCAGGATATTAGTGTTATTTAGGCATTTTATATTTTAACAACAAAAAAAAGACTAAACAGATGGAATCTCTGTGCTAAAACCTTACCTTTTTTAAAGTGCTCTGTACTCTCTTAGGTGATATCCAAAATTAGCAGAGTTGGAGTGCCCCTTCATGAGTCTGGCGTCTATTATGTGGCCCTCTGAGCTGTTGTGGCCCTCTGTTATGTGGGCTTCTGAGCTGTCATGGCCCTTCATTACATGATCTTCAGAGCTGTTGTGGCCCTCTTTTATGTCATCCTCTGAGTTGGCCTGGCCCTCTGTATATGGTTCTCTGAGCTGGTGTGTCCCTCCATGAGTATTGTCCTTGGTGATAGTTATTTCCTCCCACGTAGGATGGAGCGATTCTAGTCTTCCTGCCTGGCTGGGACAACATCAGCAGTCTACATGATCTCCTGATGTCCCAGGTGATGTTTAAGTCAGGTACGTGTGAAGGTCTTGTACTGTGACCTTGGTGAGCAGTAACTGAACCATATGTAGTACACACTGCTCCTCTTCCTGCTCTTCCCCTCATTTAACATGGTGAAGTGTTACTTCTGTGGCTGCCTCAGTATAGGAATTGGGTGGGCTAAGCCCAGCTATGGCTTTTCTGGAGGAGGGGGTCTTCTTTGAGCTCTGAGTCCTAAATGAACATGGGAGGTAGGTTCTAGAGTGTGTAGTTAGCAGTGTGAAGCTACCATATCACAGCGTACCTCTTAACTTTTGAAAACTTGCCTAGTAAAATTGAGCCTTGTTGGCCTTTGTGATTTTTTTCATGTTTTTTACCCTGTAGTAGTTTAATGAGGCTAGAGTAAGTGATTCTGCTGATGTGATCTTAAAAGATGGCCTGTTACTTGAGCACTCCTTAAGAATTTGGAGGAATTCAGTGTAAAACTAAACTTCTGTTTTTTTTTTTTTTAGAAAACCAAAACAATTTTAAGTTGTTCTGATTGTGTATAGAAATGTAAATGAATGACTAGGGAGTTTAGTGAGTATATTTATTGTCCATACCTGGTCAGGGAACTTTTCTCATCTATATCTTAAACGTTGTTTTTAATTTTCAGATAAGTTTATTATTATCCCTCTACATTCACTAATGCCAACGGTAAACCAGACACAGGTATGTATTAGATTTGTTTTTTTTCCCCAACTGAGCCTAGATTTATGGATTGTTTATTGTATTTTTCTTTGTTTCCTTTTATTAATGAATATTTTCAAATAGGCATATAAAATGTACTTCTTAGAAAATCCTTGTGAGGCTATAGGATAATTGTATAAAAACTTAACTAGCCGCCGGGCGCTGGTGGCTCACGCCTGTAATCCTAGCTACTCAGGAGGCTGAGATCTGAGGATCGCGGTTCAAAGCCAGCCCGGGCAGGAGAGACCGTGAGACTCCTATCTCCAATAAACCACCAGAAAACCGGAAGTGGTGCTGTAGCTCAAGTGGTAGAGCGCTTGCCTTGAGCTGAAGAGCTGAGGGACAGCGCCCAGGCCCAGAGTTCAAGCCCCACGACCGACAAAAAAAAAAAAAAACTTAACTAGCAAATACTCCACAAGTCATGTTAGTTTTGTCAGCATTAGGGAAATGCATGAATAATTGCTTGCTTAGAGATATTGAATTAAAGAGAAAGATATGTGACTATCACTAAAACAATGTAACCCAGAATTTTTCTGTGACATTGGAATTTGATGTTAGAGATTGTGATTTACCACAATTAGTATATTATCAGCTGGTATTTGCTGCTTCATCGTTGATGCATTGTAAATATTTGGTTCTGTCAGTACACAGTTTTCCTAATTAGCACAAGCATTTCAAGAAGGACAAAACGTATAAGAAAAATCCACATTTCTTCCCTTTCAGTTTCTTCACTTTCGTTCCTATAGAAAAAGTTAGACGTTGTAATAATTGTTTTGCTGCACCTTGTTCCTAACAAAGACCCAGTCAGTTGAAAAAGATACAGAGTATGTTTGTAAGGGACCTTGTATCTTTGACCTAAACCCATATAGAAAGAGAGAGAGAGTCTTGAAACTTGAACTCAGGGCGTGGGCACTGTCCCTGAGTTTTTGGTGCAAGACTAGCACTCTACCATGTGAGCCATAGCTCTACTTCTGGCTTTTTGGTGGTAAATTGGAGAGAAGAGTCAAGATATGCTACATAATCAGTTTGTATGAATCTCAGTTATGTTATTTATGTTAAAATTGTGCTGTGTCATCTTGGGAGATGCTTTATCCAAAGAAAATGTTAGAGTATTGAAGTTGATGTATACTTTTTAACTAGTAATTAACAGATACGTATGTCAACAAGTAAACACAGAATGCTAAAAGTGAATATTATCTGAAGTAATTAATAATTGTAATTGGGGACTTTGATGTATTTATTCTTACTACAGGTGTTTAAAAGAACTCCTCCTGGTGTTCGGAAAATAGTAATTGCTACCAATATTGCAGAGACTAGGTAAAAATGGTTATAAATATCAACTATTAATGATTACCCATTCATTAAAATATGACAGTCTGTCTTCTCTATGAGATGCTTCGTAATTTCTTAAAAATATTTTCTTTTTTTTTAACTAGCCGTGATAGTAAAACTTTTGTCCTTTTTTTTTTTTTTTTTTTTTTTTTACTACTTTGGCCCACTTTGTCAATATACCCTTTAAAATGCTTTCCAGAGCGTTCCTAACTTATGTGGAAGCTGGGGTGTCTGCTAGTAGGGTGGAGTGATGTGCCTAGCTACTTATGAATCACAGTTTCCTTCCCTCGAGAGTGCCAAAACGCAGTGCAATGTAGTCCCTGAAAGATTTTCTGGAAGTTGACAGTAAGCCATGGCCCTTGGGTCCTGCAGGGCTAGATACTAAAAGGCATCAGGAGAACAAAGCATTTTGGCTGTAGGCAAATGATCCTTTAGTAGGAGATTTTTGGTGAGCACCATACTTCTGCCCTTTGGGGTATAGGAAAACCTCTGAATTGCACAGATGCTGTGATCAGTAACAGTGTACTAGAACCCCAGTGTGGGCCCACTGTAAGTGAGCAGTGCTTTTTATGTGTATTTAGTATTTTCTTTGTCTACTTTCTCAACAGCATCACCATTGATGACGTAGTGTATGTGATAGATGGAGGAAAAATTAAAGAAACACATTTTGACACTCAGAACAACATCAGCACGATGGCTGCCGAATGGGTCAGTAAAGCAAATGCCAAACAGAGGAAAGGCCGCGCTGGCAGGTAGGGTGGGGACTGCACAGAGCCTGCAGAACACCTCGGGGGGGAAAAGTAGCAAACCTGTCGCTATGACCTAATGATATTGTTTATTGGGAGCATTATTTTTCATACTTTGGTGAGGATACCACACATTTTTAAATGGGAATTTAAAAAAATTATGGGACTGAAGTTAGAATGTAGTAGGACTTGCTAGGCAAGTCTTCTACCCCTTGAGCCATTCTTCCAGCTCGTTTGTTTTAGCCCTTGCTGGGCTGGATCAGAATCCTTCTATTTATGTTTCCTTTGTAGCTGACTAACTAACTGAGATGGGAGCTCACTCATTGTTTTCCTGACCACCTTGAATGGTGGTCTTTTTCATCTCTTCCACCACCTGAGTAGCTGGGATCACAGGTGCGAGCTACTGCATTGGGCTTCGGGTTTTGGGTTTTTTATTTGAGACAGAGTCTCACTTTGTAACTCCAGCTTCCTTCAACTCTTGACCTCATGATCCTCTGGCCTCAGCCTACCAAGCACTAAGATGATAGACATGTGGGGCCTCCGGGCTTGTCATTAATCTATCTGCCAAGCTTTCTACTTCACCAGTGCTTGCTTCACCTGTTTCATTAGGGCCAGCGTTCTTGGTTTCTTACATTACTATTCCTTCTTTGAAAATGTGTATTGCCTAACAGTATTTGAGCATTGGCTTGTCTCCTGAAACTGTGTGAATTATCTTTGCTTAAGCCTTAGCACATGCTGTGAAGGGACCATGTTATCTCATTTAGGAGTCAGGAAACTAAGACATAAAGAAATGATAAGCAGGGTGCTGGTGGCTCACGCCTGTAATCCTAGCTACTCAGGAGGCTGAGATCTGAGGATCACGGTTCAAAGCCAGCCCAGGCAGGAAAGTCCGTGAGACTCTTATCTCCAATAAACCACTAGAAAACCGGAAGTGGTGGCTGTGGCTCAAGCAGTAGAGCACTCACCTTGAGCTGACGAGCTGAGGGACAGCACCCTAGCCCAGAGTTCAAGCCCCACGGCTGACAAAAAAAAAGAAAAAGAAATGGTAATATATCACATTTTATGGAAAGCTAAGAGTTTGCACACAAAGTGAGCAGATGGAAATGTTTATCAGTACACAGTACTTACATATATTACAATATCACACTGAGCTCTGTTATGTGCAATTATTATAAATAATTGAACAAAAAGTTGAAAAACTGGGTCACAAAAAGCAAAGTAATTTTGAAGACATTGAGGTGGGATGTTCCTTTTCAAACAGGAAGAGAAGGAAATAGAATTATTTCGTTCAGTTTCATAGAAATGAAATGATTATATGTGATCATTATATGGCTTGTGAGACTAGATGCTCTTTAATTTCCTGTGCTACTTGTTTTCTGAGTTTCTGCACCATGGGTCTTGGTGCTCATTGTTTCTGTCCTTTCATGTTGAAGAGTCCAGCCTGGTCACTGCTATCATCTGTATAATGGCCTTAGAGCCAGTCTTCTAGATGACTATCAGCTGCCAGAGATTCTAAGAACGCCTCTGGAAGAACTTTGTTTGCAAATAAAGGTAAATTAGGTGGGGAGGTTTAAAATCAGCATGGAATGGTGTTTGTATTTCTAACCTGTAGCCCTCTTACCACCAAAAATATCTGTTAATTTAAACATCTGTATATGTCTTGGTATAATTAGCCCCATTTTGAAGACAATCAGTAATCAACTTTGTTGAGATTTTAACTAGCTACTTGTATTACCAGTAGAGTTGTTGGTTAAAAAAGAAAAAAAGTATATGGGGGTTAGGAGCCTGTGGCTCACACCTGTAATCCTAACTACTTAGGAGGCCAAGATCTGAGGATTGCCATTCAAAGCCATCCCAGGCAAGAAAGTTTGTGAGATTCTTATCTCCAATTAATCACAGAAAAAGCCAGAAGTGGCACTGTGGCTCAAGTGGTAGAGTGCTAACCTTGAGCAAAAGGAGCTAAGGGCCAGTACACAGGCCCAGGGTTCCAGCCCCAGACCAGCCAAAAAAAAGCATATAGGCCTTTAAACGTGTTTTTATGAAATTACAAATATAATGTGGACTTACTTGTATAAGAGAACTAACTTGAAAATCATGTGTAAGTTAGATGCTGCGTTTAGGTGATGAACACAGAGAGCCCGATGTTACTTTATTCTTAAGTATAGTTTGATTAACTATGTTTGTCTTCCCCAGATCTTAAGGCTTGGTGGAATTGCTCATTTTCTGAGTCGGTTAATGGACCCTCCGTCCAGCGAGGCAGTGCTGCTCTCCGTAAAACACCTCATGGAGCTGGTAACTGATCCCTTCAAGTTCTGACTTGGACTAAGAGTGGTCAGGCATGCAAAGCTGCACTACTTCATAGGAGGCCAGGGAGATGCTGTGTAGGATTTTATTCTTATTTGACCTCCAGCATAATGCATAAAAAGTGATGACGATTTTTTTGTCATGTGCAGATTCTTTATATATCTATTTATAGATATCTATCGATCTCTATCTATAGATAGATAGAGATCGATAGATATAGAAATTTTTCTTGAAATGAACTGAGTTGATTTATTCTCTTCTATTTGCGTACCATAGTATTTTTTTTATAAAAGCAAGAAATTTAATGATGACATGGACATTTAAAGGCCATATTTACACGTTATTTTTTGAGTGAATGCTAACAGGTATCCTCCCTCTGGAATGCTGTAATTCCTCAGGCTGTTATTCACTCTTGGCTTACTTCCTTAGGATGAGGTTTTTGACCTCAGAGCATCCTAGAAGTGGCGGCATAGTGGCAGTCATTTCTGCACAAGAATTTGAGAGAAGGAACTGAATTCTTGCATAGAGTAGGAAGAAAGGCACAGGGATGAGCTTAGTGCAGCAAACATGTACCATTTAAATTAGAAATTAAAAATTCAGGGTCTCAGTTCCATTCATATTTCAGCTAGCAGGAAAGACTCAGATCCATGTCGGTTTTTAAAAATCTTTTCTTGGAAATAGGGCATATACATCCAGGAAGACTGAGCAGAGTAAAAGTGTGTAGCATCTGGACTTAGCCAACAGCAACTAGTGTCAGCCCCTCTTTGCCACCTCCCCCTTTCCTAGTTTTGCAGTTGCTCCAGCTCCCCACGCGCAAATATGGCCTAGGTCACTACTTCCTCATAATCGCCTGCTGTGTTTGGGGTAATTTGCATCTCCCGGAGGCTTGAGTGGTTTGAGCTTTGCTTTGGGTAGACATACCCAGGCTGCAGTAGAGCATGCTCTGGTTTCTTTCACTAACTGGGATAGGCTCTGCATTGTTGCTTTTAGCTTCATTCTTCTATCACATTTTCTTTTGCAACTATTAAAAACATTTGTACCTGTTTGAGGCTGTTGAATGTAATTTGGGTGTAAATATCTTTTACTGTTGCGTTTTTCCTGGTGCACACAGTTAAGCATCTGGATGTGTGCTTGGTTGTGAATTGGATGGGTCCAGAGGAGCATGTGTGATGGTTGGGGAGCCCGCCTGACAGTGCGAGGTGGTGAGTGTGGCGAGAGGACTCTCCCTGTCCTGTACCTGACCCACCTCGCTTGCATCTGTAGTTTCACCCACATTTCCAGGACTGCCATTGAATGTGTGAGCAGCTTTTTTTCCTCTCAATTGTTCATTTGTAAGGTTTCTTCCGTGCTTGTTTCGGTGAGATTATAAATCATTACTCATTTCTTGAGTACTCTTCATCTGAGGCCTCTGTCACTTGTAGATTACACATAACTGTTTTTTCCTTTTTTCTTTTTGTTTCTTTTTGCACAGTCCTGGGGCTTGAACTCAGGATCTGGTTGCTGTCCCTTGAGCTTTTGTGCTCAAGGCTAGTGCTCTGCCACTTGAGCCACAGGTCTTCTGGCTTTGGGGGTTGTTAATTGGAGATTAGAGTCTCACAGGTTTTCTTGCTTGGGCTGGCTTCAAACCTGGATCCTCGGAGGATCTCAACTCAGGTATGAGCCACCAGCACTTGGTTCCTTTACTCTTTACTCTTTTTAGATTATTTTTTTTAACTATATTTTTTTGGTCTTCTTTCTCTTTTTTGGTGCAGATGATCAAATCTAGGGCATTACACTTACTAGGCACACACTTTACCATTGAACTGCATCCCGGCAACTTTACTCTTTGTAAATGTCTCGAGAGAAATTTCCAATTTCATTGTCAAATATGTGGGTGTGAAAGGTTACTGCTTTTGCCCCTTATAAATCTATGCTAGTATCATAAAGGTTTTTGAAACTTGCTTTATTTTCTACACTTATTATGTATAATCTATCTGCATTTTGTTTTGTGTGCATGTGTGTTGAGATCTACTAAGTAGATCTCTTCATGGAGTACAATTCTAGAAAAAAAGTCACCTTGTTTCATTCTTCAGCCCTGTCAAGTGTTTATATCACAGATTGTATGGTTCTGGATTTGGGTACAGAGGTTTGCTATCCTGTCTTGGTCTGTCACAATACATCATCCTTTAGTTACGTATTTTCTTGTAAGTCTAATACAGAAATGGGATCAGTTTTGAATACTGCCCTTATGTTCATTGATGTTGTAAAAGTGATTTACTCTAATAAGTGTACAGTTTTTCATTATAAATGTATCACATTGCATTGATGTTTCATATGTTAAGATATTTTAACTTTTGAAGTTGGGTGGTGGTGGCTCATACCTGTAATCCTAGCTACTCAGGAGGCTGAGATCTGAGGATCACAGTCAAAGCCAGCCTGGGCAGGAAAGGCCATGAAACTCATACTCCAATAAACCACTCAGAAAACCTGAAAAGGCACTGTGGCTTAAGAGGTAGAGCATTCTTGAGTTGAAGACCTGAGGGACAGCACCCAGGTCCAAAGTTGAAGCACAACTAACAAATAAATAAATAAATAAGTAAATTTATATAACTTTTGAAATAAACCCAGTGGCAGAGATGTTTTAATTCTTGTTTTACATGTATAAAATAATTTAATAGTGTTTCTCAAATGCTCTTCTCAAAGTTAAATAACAAGATTAGGAAGTCAGAATTTTGTTCTTAAACAAAATAGACTGGGCATTTCCTCTATAAATGTTTTGAAACCTGTGTCTAATTGTACGTGCATAGCTCCTTTTGTTGTTATTGCTATTATTGTTTCTTGTTTGGATCTTGGATATTTAGCATAGTTACTTTAATTGTGTACTAAATATTCTATGTACAGAATGACTTGTTGACAGAACCCAAAGCCTTGTCTGGTCTTCTTGCAAACAGCAGTTACCTCAGGTCTGCCAGGAAAAGAGCCCTAATCTCGTAGTGACCACCTACCCCTGAGTGGCTGTCCTTGCCCACATTCTGGTTTGGGGTTCATTGCTTGTTGTCCTTGAACTGCTGTTTTAGCTGTTCTCTGTATTGTAGTTGGACTATATTTCTCATTGTTCAGGGTTCTTAAAAAAGTTTTTAACCTTTGCTCACATTGAACTGGTGTTTTTATGAGGAAAACTAAAGGTAATATTGGGGTGTTTGGGCTTTTAAAAAAGAAAACTAAAATAGCTTCAAATGTAATGCCTTTGTATGCTTGTTTTCAAAAAACTCTCTACAGAATGCTTTGGACAAACAGGAAGAATTGACCCCTCTTGGTGTCCACTTGGCCCGATTGCCAGTTGAGCCACACATCGGGAAGATGATTCTCTTCGGAGCTCTTTTCTGTTGTTTAGACCCAGTGCTCACTATTGCGGCTAGTCTCAGCTTCAAAGATCCCTTTGTGATTCCATTGGTAAGAAAGACGCTCTCTTTCAGTTTTACATGCTAAGAGTTGTTGATTCAATACATTTTTCCTGAGGTTTTTATTAGAGTGGTTTTATTTATTATAGCATGGTTATATTTATTCTAGTGTCACAACAATTCATTTCACTTTCTGTCTTTTAGGGGAAAGAAAAGATTGCAGATGCCAGAAGAAAGGAACTGGCAAAGGAAACTAGAAGTGATCACCTGACAGTTGTAAATGCATTTGAGGTAAAAAAGAAAGGCTTGTCCTAGATTGTGGCACATTATTATTCAGTTGGAAACCTGATAATAGAAAAAAGGAATGTAGTTGATCTTTTGAAGTACTATAAGGAATAAGTTGCAGGCAATGGTCAAAACAGGTGAGAAAATTCATTATCAGTTTTCTTTTACTTTTAATTTTTATACATGACTCAGACATGAGGGTTTTATTGTGGTAATTACTTTATAAAAAGTTCACCCTTCTACTACAGTCTCTTTGACCTTGTCTCTCCTCCTTCATCTCTACAGTATTTGTCGTGCTCTCTTCATGTGTTTATACACGTACATGAACACACACGTGTGTGCAGTGTGGCCCTACCACCAATACACTGCACATGTTCGTCTGTATGTCTCCTCATGGTAGGCACAGCCTCCATGTATATAGGTGGAAACTTGACTTGTCCACTTATATTTGATCCGGGGCCCCCACTCCATCCATTGTCTGTATAGCAGTTTCATTCTTCCTCTAATGAATGTTTCATGGTGTGATGATATATCATGTCTTTACTCATATATTGGTTACTTGGCTGATGCCAGCATTTATTTGTTGTGAACAGTTCTGTGAAAGATGTAGTATGCAGGTGTTTTTCTGGTATATTATTTGCTCATCTTTAGTTTTAAGTTATAAGGAAGGTTATAAGGAAGATGTGTCTTTAGTCTTTTCAGAGACCTCCTTGCTGACTTCCATAAGTAGTCTATATTTCTCATTGAGAACACATGAAGTATCTTCCCTCTCCCCCCCCAAAAAAAATCTGGTTATTGTCCTGACTTTTCCTATCCTGCTTGTTGCGTATATACAGAAAAGCTATTGAGGTTTTTGAATATGTTAATTTTGTATCCTGCTGCATCACTAAAAATATTAATCAGGTTTAGGGTTTATTTATTTTGGGGTGGGGGCTTAATTTCTAGGTTCTTTTAAGTGTAGAATTATATCATTTGTAAATAGAGATAATTTGACTTCTTCCTTTTCTTTTTTCTTCCTTATTAATCTTGCTAGGAATTCCGCTGTATTGAAAAGGAGTGGAGACTCTTGTCTCAGTCCTGGCTTGAGCATATTTCAATTCTGTTTAGCCTAGTGTTAGCTATAAGTTTGTTGTGTGTGTATATTGCAGGCTATCCCCCATCCTAGTTTCTTCAGAGCTTTTATTATGAAATAATACTGAATTTTGTCCAAGCTTTTCCTACATCACTTGGTGTGGTTACGTGATTTTTGTCCTTGATTCCATTTATATGCTGGCCTTATTGATTTGTGATGATGAATCATCCTGGCACCCTTGAATGAGATCAAATTTATTGTGATGTGTGATCTTTTAAATATATTTTGAATTCAGTTTGCAAGTAAATTCTTGCAAATAAATACTTGAGAGCTTTTAGTCTAGAATTTTTATTTTTGCTTATGTACTCATCTGGTTAAATATCGGGGTAGTACTGAGTCATAATTTCGCATTTCTTATTTTCAGAACCCCAGAGATTTGTATAAAACACTTAAGGCTCAAGATGGCAGCTATCTTATCACCTTGTAAGATGTGGAGACCAGCAGAATGTCCCTTAGGATTACAGGCATGAGCCGCGGTGCTCAGCATGATGCCACATTTTAACATTACTAAAAATAGTTTATATCCAGTCAGGTACCAGTGGCTCATGTCTGTAGCTACTCAGGAGACAGAGCTGAGGATCACAGTTGGAAGCTAGCCCAGGCAGGAGGTCCAGGAGATTCTTTTGTCCAATTAATCACCAAAAAGTTGGGAGAGGACCTGTGGCTCAAGCAGTAGAGTGCTAGTCTTGAGTGAAAAAGCTAAGGGACAGCACCCAGGCCCTAAAATGCAAGCCTTAAGCCTCAGTATTGGTACATGGACACACAGCGTGTGCACGCACACACACATCCATGTACATAATTCAGATCAGGAAGAAATTTTCTGTTTTGAACATCTAATCTTATTCTGAAGTGTAAGTAATTATTTCCATAAAACTGAACTGTAATTTGCAATTTAGTTTATAGAGGCAGTGTCTTTAACTGTTCCTCTGTTTTGTACTTCATGTTGCTCAAAAGATTTTTTTTCCTTGGAATTTATTCAGTTTGTCTATTTTACCCTTTTTGACGCTTTCTGAGAAGAACAGTTATGAAACTGAAAATAACCCCATTGAAATTTAGCAATGTGCTTTGCTTTTTTGACCAACACATATGCAATATGATGTTACTCTGAATAAAATATTGTTGGCATATAGGGTCTTGAGCCCTTTTGCCTAGGCCAGCCTTGGACTATAATCCTACATGCTGCCTCCTACGAAACTGGGTTACAGGCAGACACCATCATACTAGATGCACAGATGGAAAGTGGTACGCAATCTCAGAATGGTATAAACAGATTTTCCTTTTTTGTCCCATAGGGCTGGGAAGAAGCTAGGCGGCGTGGGTTCAGATACGAAAAGGATTACTGCTGGGAATATTTCCTCTCTTCAAATACACTGCAGGTACTGTAAAAATATTGAGTAATTTGTATTTTGCTAGGTTAGTACAGATATAAGTCTGTTTTCTACATCTGTATATGTCATGTAAAGTGAAAAATCCACAAAGTAGATATTATATGGAAAACACAACATCTAACTAATAAATCTCAATGTACCTACCTGCTCATTAGCAGACTGAAAAGTAAGGTTGCAGCTCTGAAAGATAACTGCAGCCAGAGGAAATGGAAGGGACACAGTTTCTCAGTAGAGGATGCCTTAGCTGCCCAGCAGGAGGGTTCCTTCAGGAACTAGTGGGAAGACAGGACTGCCGAACTCACACTAGCGGGACAACCAGGAGAAAGTGGTGGACATGTGGCAGTAAGTAGAAACTAGAGGGAATCACGGAAATTAGGGCTGATCCATCATGGGGATGGTTGGCATCCCTGTGTGGTTTTGAGTAGTGATCCAGAGAGAGACAAGAGACCATTTTGGTGTTCCAGACACAGACAGAAACCATTCCAGTGATTGATCCAGAGACAAGACAGTCCCTTCCAGTGATTGATTCACAGATAGAGACCATTCCAGTGATCCAGAGACAAGACGTCATTTCCCTGAAATGGAAAGGATAACTTGAACCAAAAGTATGAAAATTAGTGAACACAAGTGTCACTTGAGATGATCAATTTAGACAATTTAAGTGTAAAGAAATAGGACAAGTATTAAAACACTTACGAAACAGAGTTCTGAGTTGAAAAACTCACTGGCAGTGAAAATGCTGCCTGTTAGAATATGAGAGGAATCAAAGATTTTGTAATCTTAGATAGTGCATGCTGAATCAATCAACTGATAGTATGCATGGAAATATTTAAATACTGTGCTAATTCAAAATGTGGAATTCACACATGCAGAATAGCATTGAAAATGATAGTGGTCCTAAAAGCGAGCAAAAGACCTCTTGTGGTTATAAACTGGAGATTATGTGGTCATTCACACTCATTTCTGCAACTAGAAATGAATTGACGTGGAGGTACTTTTTTGTAAAAAAGATTACAAAATGGATCACCTTGTTAGGATACATTTCTTCTGAACTCATCTTTGTTTTATGTATGTATAAACAGTCTTGTTTAGTTTGTTATTTCTCAAGATTTGAGGTGAGAGAAGGCTCAAAGGGCTTGTTGAGCAATTTTGAAAATTTTATTTGTCAGTCTTAAGTATAGTTGCTTCTGACAAGGGGTGAACTTTTTCTGTGAAAGACCATTGATCTCTGGGATAGTGCAGAAGCCGCCATTGATGAATGGGTATAGTTGTGTTGTAATCTGTTGACAGAACAGTTTTCCAGTTTGCCAAACTTTTCCTTCCAGCATCTTGTGTTTCACAGTTCCCCTAAAGCAGCAAGGTGTGCCAGGTCGCCCTGTCCCCGGGCTTGCCTGTGCGCGACACCTTTTCTTCTGCTTGCCCCGTAGATGCTGCATGACATGAAAGGGCAGTTTGCTGAGCACCTGCTTGGAGCTGGGTTTGTAAGCAGCAGGAGCCCCAAAGACCCCAAATCCAATATAAACTCAGGTAAAGCACACCATGGTTCAGAGATGGCCCTCACTGCCCACCGTCTCAGTTTTTTACTTTGTTTTCTCTGCCCACTTCCAATAGATAATGAGAAGATAATCAAAGCTGTCATCTGTGCTGGCTTATATCCCAAAGTTGCTAAAATTCGACTAAATCTGGGTAAAAAAAGAAAAATGTAAGCATTGAAGATTATTAATGAATATTTGCATTTCTTTAACTTTGGAAATCCTCTAAGTGTACCAGGGTTCTTCTGTAAATGTGTTTTTACCATTTAGAATAAGGCTGCCTTTTACCTCAGTGTAGCTGTGGAGTCTCCTCTGCAGTCACCTGTTTGTCCCAGAGTGTTAGTTTAAACTTATGACCACCAGTGTTAAGTCAGCTGTCAGAACTAGCTACTCTTCAGAAAGCCATCATATGTTCACGTTATAGGAAAAGTGACTAAAATGGTCTCTGGTTCAGTTGCCTGATTGAGTATACATTTGTGTGTAGGTGCGTGTGTGCGTGCATGTGTGTTGGTGGGTCCTAGAGCATGCACTTGGGGCCTGGGTGCTGTTCCTGAGCTTTTGTGATCAAGACTAGTGCTCTATTACTTCAGCCATAGCTCCACAGCCAGAATTTTGGCTTTACTATCAGGCTGGCTTTGAACTGTGATCCTCAGATCTCAACCTCCTAATTAGCTAGGATTATAGGTGTGAGCCACTGGTGCCCTGCATGAGTGCACATTTTGACTTGAGAAGTGTATCTTAAGGAAGTGATTGCAAACAGTACAGCAGTCATTAGCTGCAGAATCGGTTGTGTAGTAACATGAAGTATAGTTGGTAGATAGCCTGGGACTAAAAGCATAAGAAACACAGACCCATGGAAGACATCTTTTCCCGGGCACCGGTGTTCAGCTTGGGTGGCCTGGAGATGTTATGATTGCTGTATGTCAGGATAGACATGTGTTCTCAGAAACCTGGAGTGTCCTGCTAAGTGTCATGCAGTGTGCAGGACAGCTCCCCAGGAATGAGGCCCAGACCCGTGTCTGCACTGCTGAGTGGGCCTGTTCCAGGGTGAGGGGTCATGGCTACATGGATGAATTCATTACTGTGGCTGGATTTCCATATCCTAAGTGGTACATGTGGTTCACGTGCTTTGCTCTTGTGTCAGTATTTTATCAGGTTCTGTCTATACATCTGACTTCATACAGATACCTGTTTGAATACACTGTTGTCTTCCTTTGTCACCCTGGGAGGACGTGTGAAAAACATAGATGGGTGCTTGGTTTTGTCCTAAGTGGAGGGTCACTGAGCCTTGTCTTGCAGACCAAAGCTGTTTTCAGTGGGTTTGTATCACTTGGTCCTGTTGTTGTCTGCCTGTTTCCATCCTACACTCTTAGAAGTGTTTGAGATCACAGGGTCCTGAACCTAAAACTGACTGCCCAGGCCTCCACAGTCTGCCACCCACCCATGTGGGCTATATATAGGATGGCATGGGTTACATTGACCGTGATAAAAAGAGAGAACTTCTCGTTCTATTATGTGTAATCAGTCTTAACTGGTTTTGGTGTAAGAAGTACAACTGCTTAAAAAACTTGAAAAGCTAATGCCAGTGGTTCATGTCTGTAGTCCTAGCTACTTACTCAGGAGGCTTAAATCTTACCATCGTGGTTTGAAGCTAGCCAGGGCAGTAAAGTCTGGAGACTCTTACCTTGTATTAGCTACCGAAAAGCTTGAAGTAAAGTGTTAGCCTTGAGCAAAAAAAGCTGATGGACAGTGTCCAGACTGAGTTTAAGCCCCAGGAATAGGTGTGCTTGTGCACACACACAACCAATTTGGAGGGTTTATGGATTATTAGCATATATGTGCTTTCCTAATAGAAGAAGTTAACACAACTGTATAAAAGATCAGGCTACCAAACATCTCCCTGTTGCATAGTATTGAAGATTTAAAATAGACTGAATCACTTTATTTTGGGCAGTCTTATTTTCCCTTCTGTGGTATAGTTTGTGTTAATACTCTGGTATGTTGAATAACTCCACCTGTAAGAGAATTTGCTATATTGTTATTCAGATGCACTGGCAGTCTTAATGCCATCCTGAGATTTCTACTCTGCTTACATACTAACTTTTAAATTGATACAGTGAGCATACCTGTGAGGCTTTTGTGCTTGTTTGAATTTTATTAAAACCTTAATCTTTGAAGTAGTTCTCTTAACCCCTAGGAGACTTCATTTTAAAATCTTGTTTTAACTTGTTTTAAAGGGTGAAAGTTCATACCAAGTCTGATGGTCTGGTTGCGATTCACCCCAAATCAGTGAACGTGGAGCAGACCGACTTCCGCTACAACTGGCTCATGTACCACCTCAAGATGAGGACGAGCAGTGTGAGTGCCTGCCGAGTGCTGCCTGCCCCAAGGCCCCATGTCTCACTCCCCGCGTCCCACAGCCCATTGCTCAGTCTGTGGCTTTGGACTTAGAAACTTTGCAGAACGGTGGGCACGATTTTCCTGTTAGGAATTGCAGCCTTTTGAGCAGATAAGCTGTACCTCAACATTGGTCTTTTACAATTAGCCTTTGTGTTTTTACCAAGTTGGAGGGTTATGAGGTTTGAGTCATTTTCTCTTAGTCTCTGAAGAAACCTCAAGGGTGTAGTTGGTTAGCACATTTGTGTTTATGCACTCAGGAAAGTATTTAGTGGGTTCTGTTTGTTTTCTTTGGTAGCTAATTCATGTTTGTAAATTCTGAAAACATGGATAAAAACAGTTTCAGCTATATTAGTGTTTTTGACACTCAGGAAGTACTTTGTTCAAAGAATAGTGCTACATTTTAAATTAAAAACATGAAACCTTTTATGACTTAGCAGAGAATGTTCACATAAAATATTTCTTGTAAATCAGTCAGTGTAATTTGGCTCACATGCACACACGTCTCAGGATGGAAGCACTGTGTGCTTCCTGTGGTGGGTGCGTAGCCTGCAGTGACCAGGTACCCCCTTTCCCCTCTCAGATCTACTTGTATGACTGCACCGAGGTCTCCCCATACTGCCTCTTGTTCTTCGGTGGCGACATCTCCATCCAGAAGGACAACGACCAGGAAACCATCGCTGTGGACGAATGGATTGTGTTCCAGTCCCCAGCCAGAATTGCCAACCTCGTGAAGGTGAGTCAGGAAGTGTTTCGTATTCTATTTTGACAGCTGGTTATGTTGGAAAGCTAACTCGATTTTCCAGATTGTTTTTGTGGTGGTGGTAATACACTTTTCAATGGCTCGGTCTGATGAAAGCTTGCTTTCAACTTCCCTTGAGTGGTTTGCTCACCAAATGTGCATGTTGTTATAATAGCTTGTGGCACTCCTCGTACCAGTCAATAATGCATCTGTCCTTGCTGAACGTGTCACTTTTCCAACCTTAGGAGTTAAGGAAGGAACTGGACATGCTGCTGCAGGAGAAGATCGAGAACCCTCACCCTGTGGACTGGAAGGACAAAGCATCCAGAGACTGTGCCGTGCTCTCTGCTATTCTGGACTTAATCAAAACCCAGGAGAAGGCCGTTTCCCGGAGCCTGCCTCCCCGCCACCAGGACGGATGGAGCAGCTGACAGCTTTGCAGCGCATGGTCTCTTCCTCACACTTTAACTCAGCCCAGAGCCCTGGAACCTGCGCGTGGCCCTGGTAGGTCAGAACCTCGAGTAGGTAGTAAAAACGTAGTGTGCACGTGTCCTCCCCTTGCCCTCGTGAGTGCACAAACACAGTCCGTCATACTCCTGGCTGGGCTTGTCCATGGGGAGGGGGAGGGGGGGCATCTCTGTGAGTGTTGTGCCCGAGAGGGCGTGTATTCTCTTACAGGAAATGAATCTTCCACCCATAATGATTAAGTGTAGAACTAGGAAAAGCAACGTGGTTAGCACAAAGCAGCATCAAGAATGTGAACACAACCACATTTTTAAGAATAAACTTCTTCTAGAAGTAAATTTCTTGTAATTAAAGCCCAGTATTTAATAAAATATGTAAAGCTCAGCTAACTTCTTGGCTTAGTATCCACATGTCCACCTCTCCCTGGTTTCATGTTTTTACTTTTAAAGTATCGTTTCCATTTCTTCTGCAGCAGCATGAGCACCTGAGTCGAGTTAGCACCTGATGACCTGAAGTTCGGGCCCATTCTGATTGTTCCCAAATGTCTTGGGTGTGTTGCTCGTTTTGTGATTTACTTTCCCTTGTCTCTATCCCAGTGGGGACTGTGGGGCTGAAGTCTCAGTAGATGCAGAGCACGCAGGCTGCAGCTTGCTGCCACGTCGTGTCCTCAGTCTCACCAGTCGTCCCTGACATTTTCTGCATAATAGTCTGTGACACAGAACTTCAGTGCCTCATAGCCGCCGACTCCTCCGTGAGCACATGTCCTCTGTCCAGTCCCATCCATCGTTGAGGTGCTCTTGGTTGCCAGCACCACTTTGTCACTTTTTGTTGCTGTAGCGTCCCGGCCTCTGTGTCATGTCCTCAGCAGCCAGACCTGCTTCCTAAGAGCAAACCCTTGCATAGGCCGGGGTGCCTGCCCTTGCCTGTAGGATTTACAGGTGGGCTGCAAGGGGCAGGGAAGGTTCTCTCCTGAGTAGACTTCATAGACGGGACTGCACTGCAACGTCCTTCACCAGTACCAGAGATGGGCTGGTGCTCCCGATCATGTGGAGATGTACAGAGTGCCCAGGTCTAGTCCTGCCATCCATGTGAGCTTACTGTCATGGTTTAAGCCACCTTAAGTAGGCTTATTTTTACATCAGCAAAAAGCATATTCACTGAAACACACACCCTCCATCACTGAGTGACTCCGAGGCTTCTTTCTGATAATTACTTTATAACAGAACAGCTGGAGCCCTTGGGTTAAAAGTGATAGAACTGGACACTACTGCAAAAAGAAACACCCATCTGTACCCTAAAAATGGAGATTTATTGTGCTTTCCAGTAAACGAAAGGGAGCCAAAGGAATGGGATACACTGGTGACAGTGCTGGTTCAGTGGCTCCCGTTTCTGGGGAGGTGTTCTGGCCGGCCCACCTGCCTTGCAGTGCTCGCATCATGTTACGTCTCGTCACAGTGCTGAGGACGGACAGGCCATCTGTTGTCAGGGCCCATCTGTGTTAGCAGTTCTCGAAGGTGCCTTTTGTATTTTTCTTGCATTCATTGTCTAATTTCAGTTCACATCTACCAAATGCTCCTGGAAAAACAGATTTAAAGACAAATTTGTAAAAGATGCATGATTCCATGTGGGCATTGTTTGCTTATTTCTCCAGGTGAGTGGAGAAATGCTCCTGCATTGTTGAATGGCAGTGAAAACATTCTGTCACCTCGTTTGTCTGCTCTGCAGCTGATGAGGATGGAAATCTTAGTTGAAGGTGCTGTTTGTTGTTTCTTTAGTTTACAGAACTGGGCATTGCCGAATGACATGCATTCCAAACTAAAAACCCACTGACTCTTCAGTGATTTTAAGAAATAAGACCTTAAGTTAGAAGGGAAATCTAGGCTGGGCAGTAGTGGCTCACACCTCCAATCCTATTTTGAGGCATTGGGAGGATCAGGCTTTGCTGGCCAGTACGTGGTGGTGTGGTGCCCTCCTGCCTGTCCCCAGCTGTGGGGAGGGGAGATCTGGAGCCTGGTGCTTCCAAGCCAGGTTGGACAGAAAGATCACTGACCCCACATAGACAGGCTGAGTGTGTTAGGGCATGCCTAACTGGTAGCTGGCCAGATGTGTCAGGAAGTGTGGCTAGGAAGATGGTGCTCCACACCAACCAGAGTCCCCAGTGCAAAGGGGACTGGAGACCTGGCTCAAGTGGTACAGTGTCTGTCAAGCCCTGAGTTCACACCCTAGTATAACTATTTTTTTTAAGGAAATCTATTTGTCTTAAAATGATTCTTGTCAATATAGAGAGTAAATGGGAAGAAATAAATTTAAGGGGGAATTAGAAGGAATAGAGGAACCAAGTAGGCAATGTAGAGTGCATATATAGCAAACACAGTAGAAAGCTGAAGCTGAATTTATCCTACTTAATCATGAGTCTTGGTTTTTGCTGCATTTTTAAAACAAAGTATGCTAAAAGTACTTGTGGAAAACTTTGAGAGAATGTATTCTCATTTCCCTAATCAGAATAGTGGCAAACTTCCTTCCATACTTACCTTTGAGCTTGTATGTATTTTTACACAATTGTTATCATTTGTATATTCATGATTTATGATAATGCTAAAATTATTTTTTATTCTGGACTTATTATGGAAAAATACTTGGCAGTTCAGCCTATAAACATGTTACCATTGCTACATTTTTTTTATATATTTCCATGGTTTTTTTGAAAGCTTTTGTTTGTATCTAATGAAGTGATTTTAAGTGTGTCACTCAGTGTAGAATCTTGTCACCTGTGTAGAATCTTGAGATTTGCTTGTAGAGCATCTCCTGTGGGCAGCTCCTGCCCTCCTTTAGTGCTTTGCTATTTTTCTGGCCCATAGTTTTGCCATATACAATAAATGGAATTGTAGGCAGCCATCTGTATCCAGTTGCTTTTACTGAAAGCTTTTGACATGAGTTGTGTTACATGTCTCTTCTGTTGTTTACCATTGTGTAGTGCGGTTTCACTCGTTTATTCCTCTATCAGCTGATAGCTATTGACTTAAGTTTTTTTGCGCTGATGAATAAAACTGATGCAAGTGTGTCTGTAGTCTTTGTGTGGCTATGTATTTTCACTTCTCTTGGGAAGTCCCTGAGATTGTGTGATCTGTTTCCAGAGTCTTCAGAAGTGACTAGAGGTGGTGCCCAAGTGTTTGATGCTCTTGGCAGAACTGTATTGTCAGTTTTATTCTGTTCGTGGCTGTGGACTGAGCTATCATTTAGTTAGTAGTTATTTATGTAGTTGTGATGAACCATCTTGATTTTTATGTGCTTAATGCTGTTGCTTTCTGCCATCTGTATGTTAAATGGAATCTGAAGAGGGAGAATTACCCATTTTATGTTTGCAAAGTTGTTACTTAGGTGCATTCCTTGAAGTTCATTGCAAATCTGAGCCACTGAAATCTTGAGCATGAGCCTTAGGTAAGGCTTGCTCCTGGCCTCAACACAAGTTCACTCTGGGGTGAAGAGCTAGGCAGAGAAACCCACTTCCAGATGGGGGAGATCCTCGCCCTTCCCACCAGTGCCAGTGAGTCCTGAGCAGCTTCACACTTAAGGTGGCCTGGCCAGGCCACTTTGTGAGACAGAACTCACAAAGTGTGCTCTGCTGCCCTTCTCCTTTGGTCCCATAGGGGCTAGAGAACATTTTGGTGCATTCCTGTTCCTTTGCATTTCTCCATTTAGGATCTAGAAAACATCTCTTGCAATGAAGACTGACCTGTTGTTGGGTGGAGTGGCTGTTAATACAGCTCTTGGGCTCCTTTTTGCATTGTTTTTCAGAGAGGTCTCATGATAACTTCCCCTGTAGCTGGGATTGCCACCCTTGTCCACCACACCCAGCCTTGTAAATTCACTGTAGATCTCACTGGTTGTGGCCCCATTATGCTGCCAGCAAAGAACTTATTACTATTGTTAGTCCTTTAAGAATTGTTTACACTTGGTGTGGTTCAGGAGAGTTAAATGTAAATACCTTATGTGCTTGAAAAGACTATTTATGTTCCATTTTCACCAGGACTGGATTCATGTCCAGCTGCCTAGTTCACTACAGCCATGCTAATTACTTGATCTCCACTTCTGGCTTTTTGTTGTTGTTGTTGTTATTGATAGCTAAGTTGTAGATTGGTTGGGGCTGGCTCAGAACAGTGTTTCTTGGATTTCAGCCTCCCGAATAGCTAGGATTATAGACATGAGCCACCAGTGTCCAATAACTCCAAGTAACTTTCTAATGTGAAGTTAAACCCAGTTCCATACTTTCCTTCTCTGTGTTTCTGCTGCTGTTCTTGTTACTCTTTGTAATTTTGTTTTTCTGTAAAATGTGTTATCTGTTGCTGTCACTCTGGTTTGGATTTCAGTCTGGCTTCTCTGTACTATCCCCTACCCCACTGTCATGCTAGTCCTCTAGAGGGGTTTGTTTCTACCAGGACTTCAATGAGCTAGAATCCTAGAAGACAGGTTCACACTCCAGTCCCCAGGGTTCAACCCACAACTCCTCTGCCTGTGCTCTTCATTCGTCCTATGCAGCAAGAGCTCTGCTCTGCTGCTCCCCTGAGGCCTGGGGAGATGAGGGCCCTTCTTCCTTCCTGCTCATTCTCCTGCAGCTTCCCCCTCCAGTTCCCCTCCTCCCAGGATCCCACTTCGATTGAGGTCTGCTGACAGACATCTACTGTCAGGTGGCTTCAAAGAGTGCTAGGAAGCTGGGAAACAAATAGCCTCTTAGATTTCAGGTTTCCCTCATCTCCAGAGGTTTTCCAGTTTGCTCTTCCACCCCTTTAAATACAGCTGCAGAAAACCATAAAAGAAAAATAATTTAAAAATAGTAATGACACCAGCATGAAAATACATGTACAAAATCTTCATAAAACTCCCAGACTTATGTACAAGTAGTCTTACTGTATTGGAACAGAAATGACATTTTTGTTTGCTGTGACTGAAGAAACTGTACAATTTAGAGAAGGTATTTCAACAACCAACTAGTTTAAAAAATACTGTTTTCAGGCACACAACTTGGAGCTGTGAATGTGTTATACACCTGCTACACATTACCTAAGAGACTATTAATCTGCTAATGAGGCCCTATCGACACAGGCATTGCATATTTCAACACGTAGTCATCCTACGTATAAATTAACCCACTGACTCCATAAGGTTGCTTTTTAGGTTCAATCTGGTATTAGCAAAATAATACCCCAATAATCCCGGGGCTGGGAAAGTGGCTCAGTGGTAGAGTGTTCGCCTTGCATGCGTGAGGCCCGCGGTTCGATTCCTCAGCACCACATAAGCAGAATACCCATAAGTGGTAGAGTGCTCACCTCGAGCCGAGGGACAGCGCTCAAATCCAGAGTTCAAGTCCTACGACCGACAAAATAAAAATACGATCTCCTCTGAAGCAAGCGTCCGGCCTTCCCTGCCGCCCGCCCGGCCTCTGGGACTGGCGGGGTCCCTCCCGGGGCGCCGGCGCCCGCACGCTGGCTCTTCTCACAGGAGCCAGGCGCCTGGGGCGCGCCCCGGTCACCAGGTCCGGCCCCTGCTCAGGACCAAAGTTCCGAGTCGCGGCTCCACGTCCGGGGAAGAGGTTTGAAGACACCGCGGCAGGCCCTAGAGTCCGAATCCGGAGGCGCCGGGCCGCTGCAGGCCGGAGTCCCCGCGGCTGCTCCGCGGCGGCGGCTACACGTGCGTCTCCAGCCCCAGCAGACGTCCCATCCGCTCCACGTTCCGGTCGATGGTGGCCCGGCATGTGATCTCCCGGGCGCACTCCGCGGGGAACCAGCCCCGCTCCCCGTCGCGGAGCCGCTCGCCCTCGTACCAGCCTGTGCGGAGGAAGACATGGAGGAAGATGGCTCCACCCGGCCGCTACCACACGCCCGGCTCGGGGCATGCTGGGAGGGAGCGGGGTCACCGCCGGGACGCAGGGGGCGGGGTCACGGGTCAGCTGGCTCACCGTCGCCCACGTGCTGGTAAGTGAGCACCACGTCGGCCACCTGCAGGGAGAGCTCGTCGGGCTGCCTGGCGGTGAAGGAGCGCACGACCTCCACCTGCGTGAGCGCTGAGGGGACGGACGGTTCTGATGGGGTGACCTCACGGGGTGACGGGGGGGGGAGTTCTGACGGGGTGAGGCGGGGCAGGGGGCGTCCGGTTCCCCCCAGGAGCGGGGATGGGACAGGCTGCCACCGAGCGCGGACCGCAGGAGCCGGGCCTAGGAAAGGGGTCTCGCCGGCCCCGCCTCGCGGAGAGCGAGCTGGAGCTGTGGGGGCTTCAGCTGGGCTCCGTTCACGGCCCGGCCCTGCCGGAGCCGCGCTCCTGCTGACTCCGCAGAGGCCGCGGCCGCCTGCAGGGCCCGAGGGAGCCGGGACTCACCAGTTCGGTCCAGGTGCCGCCTCCTGCCGCCGCCGCCGCCACCGCTGCCCAGCGCCGTCACCCAGCGCGCGCGCTCGCTCCTAGACAGGACAGGGGGACTGAGGCCACGTCCGCTGGAGACCCGGGGCGGAGACCCCCGGGGCCGCGGCCTGCACTCTGGACAGAGCGGGGAGACGCCGGGGGGGGGGCCTTCCCAGGGCTCCCCGCTCGAGCCCTGCTCCTCCCAACCATGGCCACGCCCACTGAGCTTCGCCAGCTGTGCGCCCCAGCCCTGCAGGCAGGTGGGCGCTACGCATGCTGCCAGCCCAAGAACCACCAGCTAGTCAGGAGGCTGAGGTAGGAGGATCCGGGTTTGAAGCCGGCCTAAGCAGGAAAATCCAATTAATTACCAAAAAGGCAGGCAGGAAGGAGATGGGGTTCAGTGGTAGAGTGCTAGCCTTGAGAGAAAAGGCTCTAAGTTCAGGCTAGCACACACACACAAAAAACAAAGGGGGGGGTCTAGAAGTGTGGCTCAGAGGTACAACTGCCTCATGTGCACAAAAACCTGAGTTCAAACCCTTCATGCTGAAAATGAAAAAGCACAAAGCGTGGATGAGGATGGGAAGGAGCTCATCTGAAGAATGGGGTGGGCCTGGAAAGCTGGCGTTACACAGATGGTGGACTGTCTTATTCCTCAGGCAAAAGGATTCACCATAGCTTTGTAAGGACAAAAAATGGCATAACTTCCTTTGCACAAAAAATGGCATAACTTCCTTTGCAACAATCGTCCAGCAAACACTGAGTTGGGACATCTCTGGGTGGGATGAGGGCTCTGTTATATTCAGGCACAGGTGGAAATCTCCAAATACAAATCCTAGCTACTCTAGAGGCTGAGATCTGAGGATTGTGCTTCAAGGCCAGCCTGTGCAGGTAAGTCATGAGACACTTATCTCCAATTAACCACCAGAAAACCAGAAGTGGTGCTTTGGCTCAAAGGAACAGCACCCTGGCTCTGAGTTCAAGCCCCACAACCAACAATAAAAATTATAAGCTAGTATTTCACTGTCAGAAGAGCTAGTCACCAGGGGTGAGGCTTTTTGTGCATCAGTCAACAAGGCTCAGCACCGGGTTCCCACAGTGGTGTCTTTACCAGCAGAGGGGGGCAGGGAGGAAGATGCCTTCAAGGAACACTCTGGAACCATCTGGAACCCAATTCTGCCTGACATGGGCAAAGGTGAGGCCTGGCTTGGATGAAAGTCCCATTTCAGTGCTAGCTTCTCCCAGTGGGCCCTGCCTGGAGCTCACTGCTCTCAGACACATCGGCCCCTGACTGGGCTCCCATCCACAGCACAGGAGAGTGCTTGTTGCCTGGCTAAAAGGGTGGCCTCTGGACATGCTTGGGTGGTACTGTGAGCCCTGCCCCCCCCAACCCTGCGAACAGGAGCGGGGAGTCCGGCTGGCTCTCCACAGCAGTAAAGGGGACACACACCCGAGAGACAGTGTAAGGACAAGGAACACCAGGACACAGACACCATTATTAGCTATACTCTCAGACCCACCATGTGTTCACAGATGTCTGATTGTGGCAAGGACAGTGTAAAGCAAGATGGATTTCCAGTGCCCTGTATACCCTGTCCAGACTCTTCCCCTGACCCAGAGCACCAGGCTCAGGCGGCCCATATGCTCCTCTGGGCATATGGTGAACACCTGTATTCCCAGCACTTGGGGAACTGAGCACTATGGGTTCTAGGACAGAATGGGCTAGCAGTGTTCCCTACGACTAAATCTTGTCTTGAAACAGTAGACACAACAAGGAGGACCTGTGTGTGCTGCGGTCATTCCTCCTCTCGGCCCTCACTCGCATTGTGTCAGGTTAGTTAGGATGAAAGCAAGCAGATGGGATGGCTGGATTCCAGCTGTCAAGACAACAGAGCTGACAGCAGGAAACAAACTGCAAACCCAAGGCATGAGTTCGAGCCATGACTAAGCAGTCTCCTTAAAATACCCGTGACCCAGGAGACCGACTGAGCTGACAGCACCCAGGCCTTCGCCCCGACAGGCTGGTGAGTCGCAGCTAGGGAAGAGACCTCCTTTATCCTTCTAACCTGGGGCATACAAATTACCTTGTGCTTCCTTTAGAAACTTCTCTACCCCCTGCCCTGGGGTGGGGAGGGCAGATGAAGGCAGACCCAGACAGCCTGAGCAGCAGGACGCAGTCCATGCGTCACACCAGCCCTGCTCACCTAACGTGAAACACCTGACCCACGCTTAGCAGTGTTCCCTGCGACTATGGTCCAGCCTCTGTGGCATGCCGCACAGCCTGCTCTGGAGACTCAGTCGGTGGGAGCTGCGTGGCCAGGTGCAGGCAGCCTCGGAAGGCCCTGCCATTGCCGTCCTGCTGGTCTGGGTCAGCATGATTCTTCACCAGGACACAGAAGCTGCGAGAACAACTTCTGGTGACCAAAGCTGCAGCTGGCTGCACCCATGCTGCACCTGGTGCACTTCCCACCAAGAGTGGGGTGGGGGAGGGACAGGGAAGACTGGCCACCAGGCTGACAAGTCCACAAAAGACCCTGCTGGAGAGAGGAGCACAGGCACGGGGGTGGGGTGGGGAGAAGGGGGCAGATAAGGAGGGCAGGTGTGGGGTGGAGGGCAGGGGGAGAGGGAAAGCTGACAGGGCCCAGGGCTGGGACAGGAAGGAGCTACAGGCCCTTGTGACACCACAGCACCGTGTTCGAATGTGGAGCTGCGTGCTTCTGAGGAGTGTCTGAAATACTTTTATCTAGTTTTATAAACAAGTTAAACTTTCATTTTCTTTTCCCCCACCTATGTTGTTAGCACACATGTCCAGGAACTCCTGAATTTCTAGACCTCCAAAAAGCAGGGCTTCCTATTCTAGCACAAGCGTCCTCAGGTTGCTAGTTCTGCCATTTTCATTTCATGGCCTGGAAGACAGGCTGGACATGGAAGAGCACGTGTGATGTGCCTGTGAACTCAGAGGAAACCATGCAGATCTTCCCATGAGGACTCCTTGGGCCTTCTCTGGGCACTCGGGTTTTGGCATTCCACCCCAGAAGGCATTTCACACCGCCCCCAACCCTCACCCTGCCATGCCAAGCAGGGGGAAAACCATGTCTTTAGTAAGACTGGGTGCAGTGCACTTTGGCTTGGACAAGAACGAGGGTATACTTTCAGAGGCACCACCGAAATGTCAAGGATCCTTCTTGACAGTCTAGATTCAACAAAGAAGAAAACTATGACCTAACAAATACATCTTCACATAAACTGTCTTTGATGCATTGTGATGGTGTCTGGGACACTATTTACAACTTTCTTCCATCCCTGACTTCCTGTTCTTAATTGAATCATTAACAGAAGCAGGAAGAGCACAAAGATTCCATCTAAACAAAGCCCCTTTATCAGAGGCCTGGGACCTGGATAATGGCCTCATTCATGAAGCAGGCATGTGGTCTAGACTGTTCTATACTACAGCTACTACATGACAGCTACGCATCACCAGCAAAGGTGGCTTGTATCCGTCCCTGCACGTGAGCCCATGACATCCAAACTGCATCCAAACTGCACTGGAAACTGGGCTGGCTTATCGGTGCCAGCTGCAGCTGTGGCACATCATTTTAATGAAGGACGACAAAGGATGCCTGGGATCCCACATTCTTCCTGAAAAGCCCAGAGGGAAAGAGGACCCGGCAAAGCCTTCTTCCTCATACACTCAGACAGGGTTTGCTTGGTATTTTCTAGCAGCACAGTGGGTGAGATCTGAAACAGGCCAGCAGGCGGCAGTGTACATGGCTGCATGCTCACCCTCAGCACCACGTATAATGAGCTCCTCTGTAGCCAAGCAGCAAACAGGTGGAACCTGTGGAAATAGGCTCGGGCAGCAACTGGAGCTGAGGAAAAGCAATTTCCTGTAAGTGCCTCTGTCTACCTTGCTGTGGACGTAGAAAAGCTAGTTACACAAATTCAGGGTGAATCTCTGAATTAGTGTCTACCCTCAGACAGGGGTGGGTGTACTGGGGGCAGCGGGCAGGGAGGGACTAGGTCCAGCACCTGCACCTCTGAGAAGCAATGGAGTGGATGCAGATGTAGGAGACCACCGAGGAAAGAGCACAGGGGAGATGCTAGGAGACAATGGCACCTCAGGGCCTGTCTACCGGCCAGAGATTCCCACTCTTAGAAAGAGACTAGACTGTCAGTCACCAGGATGGCTCCTGTCAGCAGACAATGCCTGATCCTAGATCCAACTTTGACAGCAACTCACTTCCTGGGTAACTTTAGACAAATCATACCTTCGTGACATTCATTTTAGATACTATGTAAATGTATATCGTACATTTCACTGAGTGTTGTGTCACCCTGTCTCGTATTTCATTTCGTAGAACTATATATATTCATAGACTCAGGGTTCACACAGACACTACTGTCTGAACAGGATACCTCAGAAAGTCAGAGTGGCTTTCCTGGTGGGATCCTGGGAAAACCAAGTGACATAGCTGCCTAGCCTGTGTGCTTCCTTCTCTCCAGGCCTCCCTAAGGATTAGTCTGCAGTTCTGCAATAACTGAACGTCTCAAGTAGACTCTGAATGGATTGTACTGATCAAGATAGAAAATGGAGAAAACCTACAAATGCATAGCAACCTATGCATTTTACAAATCTTAAAATAGCAAAAAATATGTTCTGCACAGACTAAAGGCAACCTACACAACCAAGAATGATACATGCTTGAAATAAATATACTTAACTTGACTTAAACATTACACAATATATGTACTCTGATCACTATAGATACCTGATTAATATGTCCAACTCTGTATTTTCATGCGTCAGTTAAGTGGTGTTACACACACACACACACACAGAGGCAGTCCAGTGCTGACAGGCAGATGTTTCATCACATTGTATAATAATTTCCTAGTCTTTTAAACAACCTTTTCTGTTGTTGTTGTTGTTGGTTGTGGGGCTTGAACTCTAGGCCTGGGCGCTGTCCCTCAGCTCTTCAGCTCAGGGCAATCACTCTACCAACTGAGCCACAGCGCCATTTCTGGTATTCTGGTGGTTTACTGGAGATAAGAGTCTCATGGATTTTCCTGCCGGGGCTGGCTCTGAACTGCAATCCTCAGATCTCAGCCTCCTAAGTAGATAGGCATGAGCCACCCACACCTGGCTTAAACAACCATTTTTTTCAAGGAGATTAAATACTGGTGTAATATATTGTTTTGAATGACAGTGGTATTTGGTGTCTTGAAATGTTTGTCAATTTATTTCCCAGAAAAGGGGAGAAGGAAATAGAATAGCAGAGTCCTGCCTCTCTCCCCCTTCTGGAATGTTCTCTTGCTATTAAAGAATCATGAATATGAGTCATTTGCAAGTGACCCAACTCGTCTGAGAACCATGTAGACCATTGGCCCACAGCAAGGACATAGCAGGCCTGTAGAGCCAGTGCTGCATGTCCCAGTAAAGAGTGGGGTTTGGGTGTAAAACCAACTAAAAAACTTGGTCTACTTTCTTGGAATAATCTAAGGAATAAGTGGTGGAGATTTCATAAATTATGAGATGGTGGGGAAAAGCTGTGGGCAAGTTCTGAGTAAGGAACAAGCAGCCTTGTGAGGGAAGAGCCAGCTGCAGGCAGGATCGCGCAGTGCCCCTCACTCCCTGCACCAGAAAGCTGGCTGGCTGGCTTCGGAGGTGTCCCCAGAAGCTGCACAAGTACTCATCCTCCACACGCCTCACACCTTTCACTCTGCAGCTGTGTAAAATCTAAAGCTTTCTTGTGTTTGTTGCTCTGATTTCCTTATTTTTTTAAATTAAATTCCATATTGTAAAAAGCCGTTTTCATCAAACAAAGCAATGCTGTCAGGAAGGTCAGGAATTGTCTCTCCCAGCTCACTTCCGGTGTGACTTTGGGCACAGTGCTTCACACCTTCCTGGAAAGTTCTATCAGAGGGAAGTAAGATGTCACTCCTATCAGAGGGAAATGAAGTAGAATTCCCACCAGAGGGAAATGAAGCGAAATTCCCAGAGAGAAATGAAATTCCCACCAGAGGGAAATGAAGTAAAATTCCTACCAGGGGGAGGGGTCAAGGACTTGCAGGGGGAAAGCACCTTCTTCCCTCAGGCCTGACCCTGGGCCTGTTGCCCCAGGTGACTTCACAGCCTGGAAGAAGTACACCACTACCCTACTCTGGCCTTCCCCCCAGAGCAGTGGACACAGGAGGCCACGCTAGGATTTCCCAAGGGCTGTCAGTGGCGTCAGTGGAGTATCTGTCTGGGACCTGAAGGATGACTTTTCCTTCTTTTCCCTTTTGTTTTCTTCTGTTAGAAACAAACTATTTCCTCCTAGAATTGGGAAACACTCTGGTATGTCAACCTGTTCTTGTTTTTCTGCAGCCCTTGAGAAGTTTCTTCTGCTGCCAGCAAACAGGAGGTGACCCTTGGACATTCTGTGTGGATGCCTTGAAATTCTGTTTCTCTTATGTGACCCAGAAACATGGTTAGAAATCACTCCCAGCAGGTGGAGTGTGGGCTTCAGCATCGTTTCTCCACGGTTTACCTGCAGCCCTGGGGCTGTTCACCAATTGCTGATCCATGTTAGCCACGCCATGTGGCAGTGTGGGTAGGCCGGGATGTATGCAGGACTGAGAGAGGGGAGCTTCTTTTCCCTCTGCTCCACCCCTCCCCAACCCAGCCGCCAACGGCCATCTCCTAGGGGAAGCTTCCTGCTTCTGAACATATTAATTGGCCAGCTCTCTAGAATCAAATCAAACCTCTGAGCAGACATCACAGCACAGTCCCTTTCCCTCCACTAGTGTGGGGACGGACAGCACAGAGGACCGGCTCTGCCTCTGCACAGCTGCGCTTTTGGTGACTGAGGAAATGACTCGTTCCATTGTCTCTGAGACCTCACAGCCAGATGCAAACTACTACTGAGTACTTTTACTGATGGCTGATGGGGCACATATTTGTCAATAAAAAAAGAAGATACTTTTTTAGAGTTACAGAGGTTTGAACTCAGAACTTTGATCTTGATGGACCAATGACTGAGACAGGCACTAGGGCCCCCCATTTTTTGCTGGGTATTTTTGAGATAGGGTTTGCTTCCTGCCCAGGTGTGTGCTTGTTCCTAGTCTGCCTATTTTAGGCTTCTGTTCAGAGCTTCAGATTCAGTTTCTTTTACTGTGACAGAATCCTGTAGTCCTTCTTGCCCAGGCCTGGCCTTGAATGGCCATCCTCAAAATTCCAGCCTCCTATGAAACTAGGAGGACAGGCATGTGCCAAGCCCAGCTATTCATTAAGAAAGGGTCTCACAAACTTTTCTGCTAGGGTGGCTTACAGCCTTAATCCTCTGCCTCCCAAGTAGGCAGAACTGTAGATGTGAGCCATCCGAGTCCAGCTTAAAATGTTTCCAAACCACTCCAGAAAAATAAAACTCATCAACTCACGCACAATTCATCCATCAGGACTTACAAGGAGCACCTCCCCATGGACAGAGGAGCACCTCCCCGTGGACAGAGGAGCATCTCACCATGGACAGAGGAGCATCTCACCATGGACAGAGGAGCACCTCCCTGTGGACAGAGGAGCATCTCACCATGGACAGAGGAGCATCTCACCATGGACAGAGGAGCATCTCACCATGGACAAAGGAGCATCTCACCATGGACAGAGGAGCATCTCACCATGGACAGAGGGCATGTGGTACCCAGAATGCCCTTGCCCACAAGGAGACAGCAGGGTCTGCAGAGCCAGGGCAGCCTGGCTCTCACCATTACTTACTGTGTCTCAGCCCCCAGCAGCATCTCCACTTTCTCGTTGGCATGGTTACTGAGGATGGTCAGTGTGAAGAGGTGACTGGCTGAGCTCTGTCTGGAGTACAGTGCAGTGGAGCCATTCTTCCCTGGAGAGTTCAGCTCTTCACTGTCACAGGGTTCTACCAACAGCTGCTCTCTCAGGGAGTAGTCGTTGACGTTGTAACTTTCTTCACTAAGAGGAAACAACACATGGGATATTCAGTATACTAACAGTGCAGGCTTTCAGGCCACACTTGAGGAGCAGAAGGGGAGGAACGACCTGTGTACACTATGAATGAGAATCAGAATGCACCGACTTACTACCTACTAGTCGCCACCTCCCACTGAGCCTGTCAATCACCATGATGTGTGCAACACACTAAATTGCATCTCAGTGCCAAGAGAAATGCTCTACTTTCACTTGGTTCTGAGGCTGCAGCAGGCATCTGCCAGTTCTCAGACAAGGCCCTCTGCTCCCAGCATGCACAGCGCCATCCATAGAAGGAAGAGGAATGGAGACTATGGGTGCTCTGGGTTCCTCCTGCTCGAGCACAACACCCTGCCATCCTCTTCCTCCTGCCCATCCACCCACTTCAGAACCGCAGGGCTTAAAATCCTGCCATGCCCCTCTCCTGGCCACCCCAGGCCTCAGCTTCCTCTGTTCCTAAGACCCTCTGGTTTCCCCTTGGCACTGTGAGCATAGCTCACCTTCCTCATTCTCTATGGCTCTAACACCTCCCACCGTGACTTCCCAAGTCCACAGACACCTGGATGTCAGCTGGTCTCTGTGCTTTCCCTCTGTGCCTCCTTGCAGGTGAGTTTCTCCTCTTGGGAAGGACAGGGGACCCTGAGTCCTCTGCCTGCCTAAGAGCGATCGCCATGGTGGCCTCAGCCTTGGAGTCCATCCTTCGGTCTCCCACCTCAGGCTCGGGGCACTTCCCCACCCTCAAGAGCTGGCTGATGCTGATTCCCGGCCTCTCTCCAGGGCTACTTTGCAGAATTTCCACTTGAGGATCCTCCTGTTGCCCTGGTCTCCTAGCCTTGACTTCGTCATCTCCAGTGATCTTCAGTGATGTCCATGATCTCAGTGATGTCCAGTGGATCTCTGGTAATCTCAGTGATATTCAATGATGTCCAGTGATCTCAGTGCTGTCCAGCCATCTCAATTGATCTCTGGTGATCTCAGTGGTTGTCAGTGATGTCCATGATCTCAGTGATGTCCAGTGATCTCTAGTGATCTTAGTGATCTTCAATGATGTCCAGTGATCTCAGGTGATCTCAGTGGTGTCCAGTGATCCTGCTCTTGGTCTTCTATGGCCACTCATCCATGGACATGCCACAGTTCCAGCAAATGCAACTTCTCTTTCCTCCCAATGCAGACATACCAGGCTCCACGCAGTGGCCCTGCCAGTTCTACCCCAGTTCTGTCCCTCCTGTCTCCTTCATGCACATGATGTCACAGTAGTGCTGGGGGAGTGTGGGGGAGGAGAGGGGAGGAAGAGCAGAGGAGGAGGAGGGAGGGTGGGATGGGGAGGGTTGACAACCGGATGCCTCTATTTACAGCCCTGGATGTGTCTGCTGCTTTCTCACGCATGTCCAGCTGACTGTGGTGGGTTGGAAAAGAAACCCCTTTCCTGGGGGAAACTGATGCTAATCACACTTCCTCATGTTTGTCTCCACCATCTCACAAACATATGGCCCACGGAGTCTCCGAACAATTTAGATCGAGTAATGAGGAAGCTAACTGCTCAGAAAGCAGCAAATGGCAAAACCACCTTTCCTCCTGTGGAGGAGTTTACTTGGAGACTTCCGGTCATTGTCCCGCAGGGTCCCAGGTCCCCTCAGGGCTGACAGCAAACAGGCAGGCCCAGACCTCTGCAGCTGAGTGCTGGGGCCATCTTTGAGTACTTTGTTCTTTCTACAGACTGAAGAGCCACCTTTGGAGAACAGGGTACCACGATCAACCTGCCTCAGGAGGAATTCTCAGTCAGGCAGCTCAAGGTGTGGCATCACCGAATAACCTCTTCGTGAGCATCTGGCTTCTTTTTCTGTTAGGTTACTGATCAACCCCAAGGCCTCATACACACTGGGGAAAAGCTGTAGCACTGAGTAACACCTGTCATCCTTGCTCTCTCTTTCCACATCTGTATAAGCATCAGCTAGTCATACAAGAAGGCTTCATTTTACATGTCCAGATGTGCATGCCATGTACCTTGATTGGACTGCCTTTCCATAACTCTCCCCTATCTCCCTCCCTCCCTACTTCCCAAACCAATCTCAAACTTCACACAGGTATGGAAAGTATCTTTGGTCCTTGCTTTTTAAAAGAGATTACTACAGAGCAATTTTAACTTCCTCTCTCACAATTTTTATATAAAGACTTGAATCGCTCACACTAGGCATGTATTTATGTGTTATTTATATTTTTAAATCAGGAAAACATTGAAAGGCTTTAAAATACAAAACTCGGGGCTGGGAAGGTGGCTCAGTGGTAGAACACATGCCTGAGGCCCTGGGTTTGATTCCTCAGCACCACATAAGCAAAAAGTAAAAAAAAGCCAGAAGTGGCGCTGTGGCTCAAGTGGTAGAGAGCTAGCCTTGAACTGAACAGCTGAAGGACAGTGCCCAGGCCCAGGGTCTAGGCCCCATGACCAGACCCTCCCCCCAAAAAATACCAAACCCAAAGTGCTGGTGGTGCATGCACGCACACACACACACACACACACTACACACACACTCTCTCTAACAGCAGTAATCATAAGCACCAATAGTTCCTTTACCAAGAGGAAGATGAAATAATCCACATTCTTATATCTTTTGTTGTTGTTGTTATTTAAAAATGGGATGCCTGCTGGGCACTGGTGGCTCACACCTATAATCCTAGCTTCTCAGGAGGCTGAGCTCTGAGGATCACAGTTCAAAGCCAGCCTGGGCTGGAAAGTCTGTGAGACTCTTCTTTTCAATTGACCACCAGAAAACTGCAAGTGGCGCTGTGGTTCAAGTGGTAGAGAGCTGGCCTAGAGCTGAAGAGCCGAGGTACAAACACCCAGGCCCAGAGTTCAAGCCCCATGGCCAAATAAAAAAAAGGGACACCTAACTTTACTATGTAAATCTAGACAACAGGCAGGTTAGTGTTTGATAATCTTCTTTTTGTTTAATCAGTGTTATAAGTAAAAGTGTAAAGAGAACATTTAAAAGTCATCAATGCCCAGATGTGGGGACTGCTGTCATTCAGGGTGAGTCCTGAGCAGGCGAAAGGTCTTTTCCTTCTGCAAATCACAATCTTCAAATGACAGCCATGACTGAAACCCACCACAAACTGCAAGAGGTTCAGTCATGCAGCTAGGTAAAAACAAGGCCCTGCTACACACAAACATACATATGTATTTTCTACATAGCTAGAAAATGCAATGTGCTTGTTTAGACTACCACAAAACCTGTAATTAGGAACAAACTGAACAGCTTTATTTTCTATTCTGAAATGACCTTAACATGTGTCAGAAATAGATGTGAATTAATAGGAAAGCCTAGTATTATCAAGGTACCTATTTTTCCTAAATAAACTTGTAATTTTAATTAAAATAAATATATTTTGGGAGGTGATGGAAAATAAACACAAGGAAATATCTTGAAAATCATGGAAGCACCTAAGGATGAATGAGCTGGTCCTGTGAGAAATCTAGAAATTCCAGGATGGGAACCAGGGCCCATATTGTGGGTGTAAGGGTGCTGGAGTGAGCACCCGGACTGAGTCAGACACATGAGAACTCCACATGCAGCACAGGGGCTCTCCCCCGTGTGAGCCACTCATAGTCACTAAGTCATTTGAGGAGATTTGTGGAAATACCCCATCTTAGTAGCATTTAGACGCCAACCTCCCTCCTTCCCAGGACACTTGCCCGGGCTCAGGCTAGCGTACAGAAGGTGGATGAAAGGGAGGTTCAGGCTGTGTTCATGGTCAAAGAGCTCTTCAGAAGGCATGTATCTCCGTGCTAGACTGCACAGGCTTGAACCCTCTTTTAAAAAGCCCAATGTGAAAGATAGAACACTAATAATTCTTTGTTTTGAAAAAGAGGTAAGTTTGAAAGGAAAAAGTACCATAGAGATTTGCCCACACCCACAGATAGTGACTCAGTGCATCCTCAGGCAGCGCCTCCGGTGTGATTGTAACCGTTTCAGCAGTCCTTTTTCTGTTGGCTGTGTTTAAAACTTGCACATGCCAGACGGCAGGTGCCTAAGTTAGCAGGGCACTCTCTCTGAGCCAGTGAAATGTCCTCAGGGTCACTGCAGCCCAACCCTGACCCCATCCCCGCCCAGACCCAACTCCAGCCCCTGGGCTGTGACATCTGGCTCTATGATTTCTAAAGCCTTGGGCATTTCTAGGGCCCCCTTCTCAAAAGGTGCTCTTCCATACCATGCTGTTGTCTGCTAGGGGCTTCATGGCTTCCTCCTGACACCAGAGGGCTTTTAAATGTTCTCTTTACACTTTTACTTATAACACTGATTAAACAAAAAGCAGATTATCAAACACTAACCTGCCTGTTGTCTAGGGATTCGTGAGATTACAGGGGTTCTTCCCATTCAGCTCTTCCAAAACCTGTTTCCCTTCTAAGTGCGCATTTGTGACCTTGTGCTTAACTGGAATTACAATTCTCTAGTCACTGGACTGTCCTGAAATTTTCTCCAAGTTAAAGGACTAAAACACCCACCAACTGAGACTGGTTTAACTTGTGAGCATGTGTGTGCGTGCATGTGCATGTGTGTGCCTACATGATGCTGGGACTCAAACCCAGAGTCCTAGAAATGCTGAGCAAGCACTGTACCACTGATCTGCATCAGCCACTTTTTTCTTTTAACACACTGGAAGTCCATGGGCAGATGGGGAAAGGGACCATGGAGCCCAAGCTCTGTCCCCTGGAAAGTCCACAGGCAGATGGGGGAAGAGGCTGTCGTGACTCTCCTCTAGATTCTGACATTCCATGAGCAAGGGATTCCAAACAACTTCAGAGCACTTGAGCACTCGCTCCAGTGTTCCTCTCCATCTAGCAACACTGCGAAGCACTTCATAAAATTCTGCACTGAAAGGGTGCTTCTTAAACAACCAAAAAGTTATAAGTTTCTTCCAAATGACAACAGGGAATAGGGAGAAGATGTTCTAGCAAGATAAAATAAAAATGAATGAACACAAACTGAGCTCCTGGGTCTTTTTGACTTGAAGCTTTTAGCGGATTTTCTGTAATAGATGCCAGCAGGTTAGAAGAAGCAGACCAGAGGACGATCCCCCTGGCAGGACCTGAGAAGGATGCTGGCTGAGTCAGCCCGGTCCAAAACCTTTGCACCTGAAATGTTTTGGATCTGGGATGTTTTTGGATTTTGGAGTATTTGCATAATGAGGTATCGTGAAGATGAGACCACGTCCTCATCCATGTAGCTCATACGCATGAGGTATTGTGATGATGAGTCCACATCTTCATCCACGTAGCTCACACCCGTGAGGTATAGTGAAGATGAGACCACGTCCTCATCCACATAGCTCACACACATGAGGTATCATGAAGATGAGACCACATCCTCATCCACGTAGCTGATAGGCAGAGCCTGAAGGACTCGCATTGCTTGGTGGCCTGGCCCTGGGTCACAGCTAGAGGAGGTACGTGACTGGGTGCACCAGGGGTGTGGCTTAACTGCCCCTCACCTGGGTGCCGTATACCCCCACACCACGTGGTCTGCTCCTGTGGTGGAAAGAAGCTTCTAGTCACCATCCAGCACAAAGAATGCATGTCCTCACAGGGCATGGTCCAGGCATGTGCGTGTCCTCTGACATTTGGTAGAATGAGCCATTAACAGAATAACTTAAACGCGGCCTAATGGAAGACGCGAATGAAAACTTCCTTTTAATATGAAGAAAAAGTAAACATTCTTTCCCTAGCTGACCCCATGGACCCAGCCATGCCCTACTCTGTGAACAGCGGTAGTAACAGACACAGTCCAGCTAGGGCCCCACCCGCGAGGCCCAGTGAGACCTGCTGAGCATGGTGCACCTGCACATACTGGGGAGAAGGGTGGCCATCTCACAGGACCCCCTCCCATAGCTGTCATGGGCCAAGAAGCCCTGAGCCCCAGCAGCTAAGCCCCTTCCTGGGCCCTAGAATAGGGCAATAGGTGGCTGGCTCCGTCCCACAGAGCTGGCACAAGTCAGGATCTCTTATCTCCACTTGGTAGCAGAGTCTACATTTCAGCCTCCCTGGAAGCTCCCATCTCCTCTGTTGTGGCCTCTGGTATGCAAAGCATCTGGGGTTATCTCCTTGCATGGTTGGGCTGTGCGTACTGTGCACTCACCCAGCTGGATCAGCAAGGGCTCGGCTCACCTCCACCGTGTGCTAAGGCCAGGTCATAAACCTGCGTGGTTGCACGACTCCCTTGTTCAAGAGCACCCTTGAAATACTCTGGACTAACGGGTAAGGCAAGAAACTCCCAGTTTGGGTCAAAGTTAATTAGGTGCTCAGGTGGGTCTCTTCTCTGTCCTGAGTCATATAGGTTCAAGTAAATATGAACTATGACGGTGCCCTGGACGGAGGCTCGCACACACCAACTTCTCCCACACACCAAGCCTGCTCACTGGCTGCTGCCGAGCAAGCTCAGGGTAGGGTGTGTTATCCTGGCTTAAGTACCCTAAGGTCAGCACCAAGTTACCAAAACTCACCATGAAAACATTAAGAAAATAGTTTACATCGGCTCGATCCTGTTAGTATTTATTTCATTGTTTGCATCAAAAGATCACTTAAAACTTTGACCCACCGAGAAAGGAAAATACTAGAAGTATAGGATTTGGGCATTTGGGCCCAAACAAAACATTTTCAAGAAAGCCAAGGAAACCTGCTGTCATAGGACACTAACATAGACATAAAAAGAATACAAAAACTATAATTTTTGTGCAAACCTTATTTATGAACTTTACTGAGTTACTAGAACTATTTAGGTAATCTCAGATAAGAGAAATAACTTCATCTTGGAGATGCAGAGCTAGGATTTTGCTAGGTATGAAGAAGAATTAATTGGCACTTGATGTGTATATCCTGCACAGTGGAGATCCTGGGGCAGACCACACCAACTTCCACTTCCCAGAGAAATGCACTGCTGAGTACATCATAGCGCAGTCCAATCAGAAAGAAAGTTCCACTGGATTTCATGTTACCTTCAAATCAAGCTACAAAATCAGCAGCTTAGAACTAGCAATGGAACACATCTCCTGTGATACACGTAAGCATTTTCCTGGTCTTTCCATCAGGGTCTATGTCTACAGACCCCATTGCTGACACTATGGTATGCAATGCCTTGCCTGTCATGGACCACCAATTCTGGCTGTCCCCATTCCCTTCACATATGGAGATGACACCTGACAAGTGCATGGCTTCCCTCATGACCACATGCCACCAATTCTGACTGTCCCATTCCCCTCACATATGGAGATGACACCCGACAGGCACACGGCTCACCCACAAGCACATGCCACCAATTCTGACTGTCCCTACTCCCCTCATGTACAGAGATGACACCCCACAGGTGCACAGCTCACCCACATCCACATGTCAGGAAACATGCAATTAGCACAGGGCTGGCCGAAGTGTATTCCTCCTTTCTCCGTGTACTGGACCATTTAACAGACATGCTCCTTTGGGGAATCCCAGAGGAAGGTGGCACTGAGGACAGGTGTGTGCATGCACGTGTGTGCATGCGTGTGTGCAGATGCATGTCTTGCAGGTGGGAACCGTTTGAGAGAACAGTACTGTAAAAGGAGGCTCGTGTAGTTTTCTGGGCATCTATCTGGAATGGGACTTGATTATACCAGCAGCCGCCTCCCAGAAGAATGAACACTGCCAATTGACAGCCTCCATACCCTCAGAGTGAGGAAGGCTCACACCTTCCCGTAGGGGAGCTTTTTAAGAACCACTGTGCATGAGCTGTAAGCACAAACTGCCATCCACATCAAGGGGACCAGCCCATCCACCACTGCAGCGTCACACAAGCCCCAGGATGGAAATATGGAAAGCACTTACTATAATGGGAGGAGGAGCATGCCGCCCAGCAAAGGCCAGAGGTCTGAATGCTGCACAGCGTTCAGCTTTGTGCCTGACACTGTGAGTGCTTCCCAGAAGCTGGTGAGCAGGAGGGAGGCAGGCCCAGGCAGCGGACACTGCACAGGAGGAGGCCATGCTGAGGGCAGACTGCACACCTAACACTTTGATGGCAGCACCTGCATGAAGGAGAGCTCGGCCCACCCCAGGCTTACCTCTTCTTCTTGGTGATGATGAGCACATCGTTGAAGAGGAAGAAGTAGACCTGCTGCCTGGATGTGCGCCGGGAGAAGAGCACTGTATCCTCCACGTAGGCTGTCAGCTCGCCTCTCTTCACCAGCCACCGCGAGGAGGAGACCAGGGGGAAGGGCTGCCAGGAGAGGATGCTCAGTGTGGGCGGCAGTAATTAGTGTTCTTTGATAAGGGGATCAGAAGATGGCTGGGGGCGTGGCTCTGGTACAGCAACTGCCCACAAGGTGCAAGGTCCTACCTGAGTTCAAACCCCAGGACCACCAAGAAGATTATTAAAAGATACAGGAATTACAAACTATGTATTATGGAATGCACCACTATTTTACAGGTATGTAATAAAATAGCAAAATGCAATTCGAGATGTTCACACCTTCTTTCAGACAACAAAAAATAATTGAGTCTTCAATATAGTAAACTATTAACTTGACATTATGATGTTAAAGATGAGGAAATGTTACCAAATCAGAAAATCCTAACCATTCTATTAATTTTTTTTTTCTTGTGCCAGTACTAGGGCTTGAACTCAGGGCCTAAGAGTTGTCTTATTCTACCATTTGAGCCGTGGTTTTACTTCCTTTTTTCGGTAGGTTGAAGATAAGAGTTTCATGGATTTTTCTGCTTGGGCTGGGTTTGAACCACAATCCTCAGATCTCAGACTTCTGAGTAGTTAAGATTACAGGCATAAGCCACTGGGGTCCAGCTATTCTATTACCTTTAAAAATGAAAAGAAGAAATGAAAACAAGGAGTCATCTTAAGTTTAAAATAATGAGTCCTGGAATCTAACATACTAACTGCAATTACTTTACATAACTCAAATCAGAATTTAATCATTACCATAGACAACTGTAGTTACCTAGAGAACAAATGTCTGCATTTACTTTCTAAATTAAAAAAGCTATTTAAGAAGACAAAACTCTCACAAACTTATGTTTTTCTGCTTCTTACATTACCATATTCCTCAAAGCACCTATTCTTTTAGGGGGAGGATGGCTATTGGGGTTAGAACCCAAGACCTCTTGCTAGGTAGGTGCTCTACTGCTTGCTTGAGCCATGCGGCCAGCCCTTTTTAGTGTTAGGCTGTTTTCAGATGGCGTCTTGTGTTTTTTGCCCTAGCTGGCATCAGTCACAAGTACTCCCAACCTGTGCCTCCTGTGTGGCTGGGATCATAGGCTTGCTGCCCCACACCCAGCTTGTTTGTGGAGATGCCTGGGCTCATGATGTAAAAAGTAGCTTGTGTGACTTGAGGGTAGGGATGGGAGGGGAAACGGGGAGAACAAAGCTGAAGGAGTGACACTGAACAAGAAGCACTGGACTCATAACCTGACTCGTGGAATTGTAACCCCTTCACACACCTACATCGTGATGATGATGATGGTGATGGTGATGATGAGAATGATGAAGATGATGATGATGATGAAGCCTGGGCTGGCCCTGAACCACAGTCCTCAGGATTTCTACCTCCCAGGTGCCTAATGTTCCAGGCATCAGGCCCCATGCCTGGCTCCCCTTCCTAACTTTACAGCCATCTTCTCCTGTCTCCTTCCTCCCTGAAAGCCTCATGTGGAGAAGTTCTTCTGGGATAATCTACTGAACTCATAGGAAAGGCTGTATCTGAGGAAGCATACACTGCTTTTACCTTCACTCAGTTTTATCCAAGCTGACTGGAGAATTCTCAAACTAACCCTGGCCCTTTAGGACTCCTCTCCCTCTCTCTCTCCCTGTCTCCCCCCCTTTCCTTTCCCCTCCCCCTTTTCCCTCTCACTCTCCCTCCCCAAAAACGTGATCTAAAAACAAAACTCTGTGTCCATCAAGTTCTTGGATACAGAACACATGAGGGCAGTGATGAGATAAGACAAAACATCATCCTATTCTGGGAATGATTAAATAGGAAACTGAGGGACACTGGGAGAACTGGGGGGCTAAGGAAGGGTTGTGCAGTTGTTTCAGACCGTTTAGAGGGCTTTTATGAAGGTTGTTCGCCAGTTACATCTAAGTCCAAAAAGCAAGATTGAAAATGATGGTCGAGGGTCTGGGAAGGTGGCTCAGTGGTGGAGTGCTTGCCTCGCATACATGAAGCCCTGGGTTTGATTCCTCAGTACCACATAAGCAGAAAAGGTAGAAGTGGGGCTGAGGCTCAAGTGGTAGAGCTCTAGCCTTGAGCTGAAGAGCTGGGGGACAGCACCCAGGCCCAGAGTTCAGGCCCCACGACCAACCAAAAAAAAAAAAATAAGTCAACCCCAGACTTTCCAGAAGTCATTATTCAGTGAACTTGGGGAATTTCTAGCCTCCAATAACTTGGACCAGACTATTAGCCAACAGGAACAGCCAAGATCTAAAGGGGCAACAGTGAGATGTGAAGAGAGTTGAGAGAGAGGGGAGGAGAAGGAAGGGAGGGAGGGAGGGAGAGAGACAGACAGACACAGGAAGACACCCAGCATGGCTCAGGAGGTCCTGGCACACCTTGCTCATGTGTCAGTCATGTGGCTCTACCACTTGAGTCACAGCTCCATCTTCAGTTTTTTTGCTGGTTAATTGGAGAGAAGTCTCTCACAGACTTTCCTGCCCAGGCTGACTTCAAAAAGCAATCCCCCGATCTCAGTTTCTTGAATAGTGTGGATTACAGGCATGAGGTGCAAGTGCTCTTCTGTGGCAAATGTAGAAATATATTCCAAAGTCAAGTGAGAGTGGTCCTGGTTCAAGTACCAGTGCTGGCACAAAACCCAGGAAGCATTTTATTGAGAAAATTTGCTTTATTTCTATCAATCTTCTATGGGTTTTGGTGTCAGGTTTCCTGGAATGAGTTGCGTCTCATTCCTTCCCGGTTTCGTGGTGTACCCCAGAAGCACTTCTGTTAGTTCTTGACTCTCGCTACTGCTTCAGTCTCACACGTGTTCACAGATTTAGTTTGATTTGTCTGTGTTCAATTTTGGTAGAAATGTATCCATTTCTTCTAGAATGCTATCCATTTATTCTAGTGTTTCAAGCTTGCTTGTTAAAATACAGGATTTTAAAGTATTTCTCAATGATTCTCTGAATTTTCTTGTTACTTGTTGTGATATCGTCCTTATAATGTCTAATTTTATTAATTTGGGTCTTCATCATTTCTCTTTTGATTAGTTAGGGGTTTACCAATCCTTTCAAAGAATCAAATTTTTTATTTCATTAATTCTTTGAAATATTTTGAGAGCTCCATTTGATGAATTTAAACTGCTTGTATTATTTATTATTTTATTCTGTGTGTGCTGGTACCAGCTATTATTCTACTCTTAATTTTCTATCTGCTAATTTGGATTTTGGCTTGTTCTTAGTTTTGAAGGGTGTTCATTAGACCATTTCTGTGAAACCTCTCTGTATCTAATGCAGATATGCATGGCTACAAACTTCCATCTCCACACAGCTTTCGCTTCATCCCAGACATCTTCTTTCAATTCTAGGAAGCCTATTTCCTCTCTTACTTCTTTGAGGACACACTGTTTATCCAACAATACATTGTTCAGTCTTGGTGTCTATGAATATTTCAGCAGTGTTTTGTTGCTCTGATGCAGCATGCTTACCCAGCATCCTCACTTTCCTCCTCCCCCAGTTCCTCTTCACTCCCCCCCAATCTGGGTCCTGAACATCACAGACATTATGCTTGCTGCTCTTCTGGTACCCTAATTGTACAACACTAAATGTCTGCAGTTCCTGGGCACAGGGGTACTGTCCTGTCAACCTTCTCAATCTTCCAGAGGACCCCTTCTTCCTTACCTTTCAAGGTTAAGCACACACGCACACACGCACGCACACACACACACACACACACACACACACACACACACACACACACACGCTTGCTATGGAGCCATTCCTGAGTGCTCCTGACCCTCAGCTCTAGAGTGTGCCCCCTCCTCTCATGGGCATCTCCCTGGGTTCTTCAAGTCTGCTATCTACCTACTCTACCAACTGTGGACCAGGCTGGCTCCAGAGTTTTAAAGAAATATTGTAAAATTGTTATTACAAAGCTGATGTACAAAGCTGGGTGCCAGTGGCTCATGCCTGTAATCCTAGCTACTCAGGAGGCTGAGATCTGAGGATCGAGGTTCAAAGCCAGTCCAGGCAGGAAAGTCCGTGAGATTCTTACCTCTAATAAACCACTAGAAAACCAGAAGTGGTGCTGTGGCTCAAGTGGTAGAGCACTCGCCTTGAGCTGAAGAGCACAAGGACAGCGCCCAAGCCTAGAGTTCAAGCCCCATGACTGACCAAAAAAAAAGGTGATGTACAGAAGGGTACAATTACGTAAGTCAGATAAAGAGTACATTTTTTTTGGACGATGTCACCCCTTTCCTTGCTCTGGGTTTTTCCCTCCCATCCCCACGCACAAGTTGTGTAGTTCATTTTCAACATGGTGTCTAGTGAGTGTCATTGCTGCATTTGTTCACCCCTTGTCCTTCCATCTCTGTGTCCCCCCCCAACCCTCCCAAAGACAGATAAATGGGCAAACAAGACAAAAGGAAAAGAAAACAAACAGCAACAAAGATAAAACCTCTGTTCCCATTTCTTGGAGTTCATTTCGATAAATATTATTTTATATAATCAGATACACATAGTTATTACACCTTTGTGATCCTTTCCTAAATGTATCCTTCTTTGGTCTCACTATGTGTGAATGCCTAGGATCCTGTATAATTTATATATTTTTATTTTGTTTAAGTATGCAGTGTGTTTACTTGTAGATTTGTAGGCACATTCTAGCTACCATAAATGAGGGAAGGCAGGCAGCCTTTGTTTTTCTAGGTCTGGCTTACTTCACTTAATATAATTTTTTACATGGCTACACACTAAAGCTACCAGCATAACCATGACCACTGAAGCATTATTTATGATAGCCAAGATACTGAATCATCCCAGGTGCCCCTCATGGACAAATGGATCAAGAAAATATGGTACACCACATAAGCAGAAACAAAAAAAAAAAAAAGAAAATGTGGTACGTATATATAACAGAAGTCTAGGAATCAACCAAAAGGAATGATATTGTACCATTTGTAAGGAAATGGAAATACTTGGAAAAGATTGTGTAAGTGACATGAGCTCCCAGCAGACTTATCTCCCTGCTCCCAGAGGACAGACACAAGGGTTTTGTTTTCTAGATGAATTCTAAAATGAAGGTTCTTGGCCAACTTGTTTTAATAATGTCTGTGCTTGGACAAATTATGTCACCTCCAGCCTCTACTTTCTTTTTTGTTATGGGTTGTAGGCTTGAACTCTAGGCCTGGGTGCTGTCCCTCAGCTCTCCAACTCAAGGTTAGCACTCTACCACTTGAGCCACAGCACCACTTCCAGTTTTCTGGTGGTTAATTGGAGATAAGAGTCTCATGGACATTCCTGCCTGGGCTGGCTTTGAACCTCAATCCTCAGATCTCAGCCTCCTTAGTAGCAAGAATTATAGGCTTGAGCCATCAGTGCCTGCTCAGCCTGTACTTTTTTATCTTCAAAATGAATTGAATGAAAATGACTGGCCATTGTCATCCACCAGCAGGCAAGGATATTGCAAATCTAACTGGTGTAATTAGCATCTCTAAGTGGTGTGAATGAACCATCCCCTCTGTTTGGTGAGTGCTGTATGTACATCCACACCACAGGTGTGTCCATCTGTACTCACAGCCATAGGCAAGTGAGTGCTGCCAGCTCTGCCTTGACTTTACCAGGCTGAGAACCATGTTTCCCTCTTTCATAATGTAAGGGAATCCCTGTACCTCTCCATGGTTCCCCCCCCCCCCCACCCAAGAACTACCTTCCACGGAGCACCATGAAAAGCAGATCAATTAGATTCACGTTACCTAAGTTAGGCGGAGTTTTACTAGGAAACCATATGGTTGCTTTAAACTGCTTCATTAAACTTGTGTTTTGGAATGAAATAGAATTGCAATAGTGAGCTCTGATTTGGTTTGGGGCACACTCTGTCCCAGCTCATGACACTGTTTTTTGTGGCACTGGAAAGTACCATAGGCGTCTCAAACTTCAACGCTGAACTTCAGTTCCAAACACAACTGTTCCAGGGCTGGGGCAAGGGGAGCGGGGGCAGGGGGTTGGGAGGGGGGAAGGCCAGCTGAGAGAGGCTGGCCTCCAAGGCCGAGAGAGACCCTGTCTCTGGTACTGCCAGAGCAGGGTCACCAGGCATCTGCCGGGCCCAGGCTCTCACCACACCTAGCAAATACCTTCAACCACCTCCTCTTATTTAGATGAGCTTCCCACTAAAGCAAGCAAGCAAGGACAAACACAGCTACCTTGATCTTGAACTCCAGCTGGGAGTTGATCGTGTACATCATCTCTGTCCTCTCCATCTTCCTGGCTCCCTCGTTGCAGAGCCGAACCAGCTAGGAACACAGAAGAGGGAGGGTTGAGAGTCCCCACAACTAAGTACAGATCGCTCCTGGGAAATCATGAAGCCCTGGGAAGCCCAGGGGTGCATTGTTTTTTAAAGGACAGAAGTTCAGACAGGACTCAGGCCTGTAATCCTAGCCACTCAGGAGGTGGAGATCTGGAGAATGGCAGTTCTAGGCTCTGTCATCTCTGTTAGCAAATAATTTTGAGGGACACAATCACAGGTGGTACTCTGTATCTTCTCTCATTTAGATTTTCTATATTATCTGCATGCACATCTGGTGCTCACACACAGGAGCCTGGGCATTAATGTGAACTCCACATCTCAACTCACCACTGGATGGGGTAGCATGCGTCTGCTGTCCTAGCCGTGTGGGAAGCATCTGAAAAGGGATGGCCAGCCTGAAGTGTGTGTGAGGAAAGCAAACAAGCCTGGGGACTCATTCAAGTGGTAAAGCCTTACCTAGCCAGCCAGAGACCCTGAGAGCTGAGTTCATCCCCAGTAAGAAAAAAAAAAATCCAAAGATTTAGGAGAGTTCCCAGGTAACTGGTGCCTAATCTCATACAACCCCACCTTAGGCTCCAGGCCTCGCCTGCTGTGTGGCCGTTTGCATGTGTGTTTCCTTGTCTGACCCCACCTCCACCCCTGATGCTCAACCACCTGGCTTTCAGGACTCAACCTGGGCACTGCCACTGCAAGAAGTCCAGGGCGCAGCGTGTAGACACACGGTGTCCATTATAACCAAGCCCAGTCAAAAAATAAGGCACAAATCCCTTAGAGCCATCGCTGTTTATAAATGAAAGGAAATGGCATTATTTGTTCTGAACGAGTTGTCCCTGCGCTTCTTTTGCTCAAAACTAGTGTTCTAACACTTAAGGCTCCACTTACAATCTTTTCACCAAGAGGTAAGAGTCTCACAGATTTTACTGGATGGGCTGGCTTTGAACTATGATCCTCAGATTTCAGCCTTCTGAGTAGCTAGTATTATAAACATGAGCTGCTAGCACCTGGCTTTCCCTTATTCTTTATATAGAAATTTATGTTAGAAAAATAAACTAGCTCAAAATATCCATGATTTTGTAACCACTGTTAACAATCATCAAGTCCTCCGCCATTTGCCAGGCCATTCTAGTTTTTCTTCTTTTTCTCTGGTATAATTGATTGACTGAACTGTTGCCAGTACTGAGGTTTTAACTCAGGGCCTCATGCTCTCACTCAGCTTTTTCTGCTCATAGATGATGCTCTAACAATTGAGCCACAGCTCTACTCCTGGCTTTTTGCTGGTTGAGGCATGACGTCTGATGACCTTTCCTGCCCAGGCTGGCTTTGAACTTCCACCATCAGGTCTCAGCCTCCTGACTAGCTAGGATTAGAGTCGTGAGCACCTGGATTGTTCTATTATACTATAAGACTTCTCTGATGGTTCCTGTAACGATTGGTGTCCTGTGGGCCTTGGATCCAAAGCTCTCACCCTCACCTCATTCCAAACCCTCCCTAGACAATCCCACCTACATCCCAACCTCCAAGAAGGCAGCTCTTGAATCCCATCTCCAAGTTGAATCTCTCGGGAGCTTCTGACTTCTTTACTCAGTCAACTTGCATATGTTTTAAGCCCTCAGTTACAACATACTCACACAAACTCATCAGCACCTGCCTCTGTTACTGGTGCCTCTGTTCCAGGCATAAATAAGAGCATCCACCCCATTTCCCTGACACCTATTCCCAACTGTGCTCAGTCAACCCATCTCCAAGACACTTACCCCATGCACTGGTCTATTTCCCTCTTCCTGTCAGGCTGCTCATCATCTCCCAAATCAGCCATAATAGGGTCCATAACTAGGTTCATAATGGGTCCCATCTCTTCACAATACATGACTCTGTAGTTTTCACATCACTCCCCAACATGGGAGGCAGGGGCCCACACAGCTGGCCCCCAAGGCCCCTCTCTCTTGGATAATTCCCAGCACTTACTCCGCAAGCACATGAATGTCTGCAATCTGAGATGTTGCTCTCCCAGGCTCGGAGGACTCTGGCTGTGTCTCAGCTGGGACATTACTGTGTGCTGACCTGTGTCACCCACCATCACCACTGTAAATCTCTTCCATGTCTGCCTTCCACACCATGAGAGAAGTAACCACATCTCCCTATCCGTTGCCCAGTGTTCAAGGCCTGGCATTATGCCTGGCAGCACAGTTGATACCCAATAAATATTTGTGGAAAGGGAGGGCGAATCAGCAGCTATTCACACACCAGAAGACAAGAAGGAAGCTACAGCTCCTTCTTGTAAACTGTCTGACACAGTCCACAAAGCAAGTGCACTTGAGCATAGCAAATGCTGTTCTGTTTTCAACAACCTTCAGAACACTGTGCAAATGTTGCCAAAGTCTATGGACTGTGTAAACACACAGGCAGAGACACGCCTGGCTCAGAGTCCCGCTTACCTTGCTCACCTCCTTCAAGGCCCTCTTGCAGACTTCGTACTTGGGAGAGTCCTTGGGTGTTTTTTGGCAGATAGTCTGCAATGAAGTAAAAGCAGACACAATCAATTTGTTCACCCAATTAAAAATAAAACCAACAGTCAACTATTTCCTCCTTTTCACAAAAACTTGATGTGGACACAATACTGAGGATGATGATCACGCTAATATTAAATCGAATTTGAAGAATCAGGAACTGATCTTTAAACATACAGGCCCTAGGTAGGCCCGGGAAATAAGAGGTCAGACCTGTCACTTAATCTGGGGACTTTACAGGACGTGCATTCATGGGGCAGAGTCTCAAGGGTCTATTTTGTCAGCATCTAGGGGCAGGTGCGGCGGCTCTTACATCCATGAGCAGCGGCAGGCGGGTGACCCGCTGCATGGGCAGGATGAGGAAAGAGATCATGGGTAGGTTCCTGCAGTCCTCGTGGGACTCGATCCGAGACAGCACTTCCTTGAAGGAGGGATTGGTAGCCCTGGAGGAAAGGAAGCAGAGCAGAATGGACTTCAGAATGGCTCCCTTGCTAGCTCAGACACCAAGTTAAACTGAATCATAAAATGCTGCAACCCCTTGTCCACAATGTTTAAATGTATGGAAACATACAGAGAACATGGCTGTCATCGTGGGACCGAGGGGACAGAAAGGGGGAGAAAAAGAGAATGTTAGAGGGTAAATAATACCGAAATAACACCGTGCACCTGTGAGCGAGGATGGCAAAATGAGGCTCATTGAAAGCTGCTTGACTATCTGGGGGAGGGAGGGGAGAGCAGGGCAAATCGGAGCTTCAATCTGATGGAATGCTATGTACACCTGTGAAATACCATGGTAAAACCACTTTGAATAATTAGTGCATACTAAAAATAAGGTGAGTTACATGAATGGAGTTCCTGGGGGGCAAGAGGTAAATGAGTGGGTGAAGGAGATAAATAAGGTCAAAATACTTTATATACAAGGGTGAACACAGAACAGAGAAGCTTGTTCAAGTTGGGGAGGGGAGGGGGAGCGCAATGGAGGGTGGAGTGTGATCATAGGCATCATACGCATGTCAGGGCATTAGAACGAAACCCCTTGTGGGAAAATATGCAAACACATTATAAACACATAATGACACGGGCACACAGAGGGCTTGTGTGCATCTTTATACTCCAGGTTGAAGATGCAATATCACTCAGTAATATTAACGGCAAGGGAAGATGCATGAACTAGAAATTTGTAAAGCTGGCCTAAGATAGTACTCTGAGGAAGGGACATCAGGCTGGAGTTATTAAGAGTCTTTTTGCTCTTTTTTTTTTTTTTTAAGAATTATATACTTGTCAGGCAGCTGCTCTACCACATGGGCCACAGCCATAGCCTTGACCCACAATCCTGCTGGTCTATGCCTCCTAAGTAGCTAGCGAGGATCACAAATGTGAGACAACACACCTTCCTTCCTTTGGTTTTACAAAGAAGCCCCCCTCTTAACAGCCAGGCAGACCTTCTCTCTCCATACTTCTGCTCCCCAGTGCTAGTATGCCAGGCACATGTGACCAAGCCAGCCAGAAAACCTCTGACTACAGTAGCCAGAACACTGCTCCTCCTCTTCTGGTAATGTAAGAAGTACACTTTGACAGAGCTGAACAATCTCCCCACACAGCATCTCCAGTGGGAACAGCCACGTGTATTTGCAGAGGGGCTGGAGAGGACTCACTCCAGGCCGAGAGCAGGCCCAGGAGGGGTCCAGCTTGCCACAGGATGCAGACGCGGGGACTGACTGAAGCCAAGTCTCTGAGTCTCTGTGCAGTGCTCCTGGGCACCCTCACCCAGCCCTGATATCTTGGGCAGAGGGATGAGGTGGAGGGAGGGACAGGGAGAGGGACAGAGAGGAGGGAGGGACAGGTGACACTGGGCACTGCACACCAGGATAAAAAGAGTGGGCAAACAGGCCAGCAGCAACAATGATTGTTTCTCCAAGAGGTGACTTGAAAACTTTATGATTTTGTTCAATTCTATGGACCGAAAGTAAATTGAGAAATACAGGGATAGTAAATTAAAGAGAAATTACATAGAATTATCTTTTTGGTTGCTCAAACTGAGAAGCTGTATTCTTTCCCTGAGATTTAAAGACATCTTCTGATGCTCCAGACCACCCAAACTCCACCTTGGCGGGGAGCTTCATTCCCTGCTGCCAAGGTTGGGATTTCGAGTCTGGTGTCCCAGCTGGTCTGCTCAGTTCCTGGTTCCCAGGCTCTGCTACAGGTGAGTTCACACATCACCTGCAAGGAAACCCCTGAAGACACAAATTCTAATCTCCAGGTCTGACTAAGACAATCAAGATAACATCCCTATCTGGGGAGTCCCATACACACAGCATCACTATTAACACTTGTTTCAATCCTGCAAAGTAAGAACAGCCCGCTGGCTCCAACTCAAGGCTTTGTTTTCAAACATGACCTGTGTCAGTGCTGGTCACAAAACAACTCTGTGCCCGGTCAGGGGGCCCAGGGCTTGGGGAAGTGTGGGGGGGACATTTCCCCCAGGGCACCTGCCCTAGCATCTGGAGGTGCTCTGGACAGAGGCCAGGGATGCTGCTACAGACTCCACATTGAGCAGGTTGGCCTTACAACCAAGTCTTCTGGTTGCTAAATTCTGAAGCATGACAAACTTTCACACTAACACCCTGGCTTTGAGCAGCTGTAGGATTTCCACCTGGCCATCAGAGCCTTTCCAGAGGGTGCTGAGAGGATGGAACAGTCGGCGCTCAGCGGTCAGCCCGCCTCAGCCAGGGGGCTTCTCCAAGAGCGGAGAGGCCCTCCTCCACCAGTAGACCAGGGCCAGAGAGGGGTTACCCTCTCAGAGCTGATGAGCCCCCCATCGAGGGCTGGGATCTCTGGGGGGGGGGGAAGTCTGGCACTTCCCCAAAGTGTGTTTCCAGCAAGGAGCAACTACTACTCATGACAAACAAATTGGGGCAGACTGTTCAACCATCTTCCAAAGATGGAGGTGGCCTCTATCTCTTATCAAAACTCTGGGACATAAGAAAAGGTGTTCTGAAAATTTAATGCTTGGCTCTTTTTTATTGTGGCATAATTAAAACCTTCAAGAACATCTTTTTTCTTTTCCTCATATACCCTTCAGCTCCTTGGCCCTAGCTACCTAAGTGGGAGAGAGTGGGAAGTCAGTTCTCAGAGAGTAGGTAGTATGGAGATTAGATGAGTTAGAAAACCCTAATCCCAGCTTCTGGCTCCATCTGCTTAAGAACTGGCCTCAGGCAAATCACTAAATTAGCAGTGTGGGGTAGGGGAGTGACCATAACCCACTTTGTCTGGTGACAGCTAAGGGGGAGAGACAAAATAAGCCAAGGACAGACCAGTTGCAAGCCCCTAAGTGCCTAGAGACCAGACTTTCTTCCTCAAACATCTCCATCCTCAAAACCTTTAAAACCTCTCTTCCCCCGGGGGAAAAGGTTCCATCAGGAGGAACTTAGAAATCTCCTGTTATCACTGTATTTGATTTTGGTACCCTAGGTATTGTACATGCATTTATCTGAATTAGAGAAGGGAAGGGGAACAAAAAATGAGACAAAAGACAAACGAGGAACCAATCCAACAATGGTACTCACAAAACACTACGCTGGAAATGATCTGTACAACTTGGGGGGGGGAGTGGGAGAAAAATGAGGGAAGGGGTGACAAGTTCAACAAGAAATGTACTCACTACCTTACTTATGTAACTGTAACCCCTCTGTCCATCACCTTGACAATGAAATTAGAATTTAAATTAAAAAAATCTGATTTAGAAGAAAATGAATTGCCATCTGTGAGCACTGAGGAAGGGTGGAGGCAACACTGACTTGAGTGTGCGGGCGAGCCCCACTCACGGCAGGCCCTGTGAGTACTGAGGAACGGTGGGGTGGTGGGAACACTGACACGAGTGTGCGAGCAGGGGGCCCCCACTCACAGCAGCCTCTGCAGAGTGCGCTGCTGGTAGACTTCATTAGTGCAGTACTTCACATAGGGGTCAAACGTGGATGCTGTGTGCTTCTCCACAATGTCGCTGATGTCATCGATGATGATGCTATTCTGATGTCTTGCTTCCAACTCTGTAAAGAATCTGAGAAAAACAAAGAGAAGCCTTTATATGCTTCCTTCAATATGCACTAACAGACCTCACACCAGGCTGTAATGGGAGATGTAAAATAACAACACATAGCATTGACTCAAAAAGAGCGAAAGAAAAAAAAAGCCTATGAAGGTTTTGTCTAGAGTCAAATCCAGTACACAGACACATTATTACCTAAAGCTCAAATGGACATTTCTGTCTCTAGGTCCATTTAAAATAAACCAGCCAGGCACTGTTGGCTCAGATCTATAGTCCCAGCTACGCATGAGGCCTAGACCAAAGATGGTGGGTCAAAACCAGCCTGGGCAGGAAACCTCTCCACACTCCATTTCTAATCAACCAACAAAAATCTGGAGTAGAACATTGCTTAAGTGGTAGAGCACCAACCAAGAAAGCTGAGTGAGAATGTGAGGCCTCAAGTTCAAATTCTGTCTCTAGGACCTGCCCCCAATAACAAGAATAAACAGTATATGTCACTATTTTCAAGAATACCTTCAATACAGAGAAGGGAGCAGTTCAGGCTGTGTATTTTATTATTTTATTTTTTATAAGCAAACCACTCTAAGAAAAAACAACTTCAAAATAAATCTAACTCTGCATGTTCTTCCCCTGAAAATAAAAACATTAACGTACATGGTATTTAACTGTTTCCATAGTTTATTTAGATTGAAATTTAGTACAGACAGATAGGTGAACAGCAATGTAGGGTTGACAGATTGGCTATGTGAATGCATCTGCACACACACAGTATATACACAGTAACGCATGTGTATACCTCTACATACACATGTTATATACACACTGTACATGCAAGTAATGTATGTACATACCTCTACATAAATGTGTTATGTATACACACACTGTACATGCACATTAATGTATTGCATACCTCTACATACATATTATCTATCTTCTCTCTATATACACATATATACATATATATACATATATATACACATATATACATATATGTATATAATATATAAATATATATAAAACCAGTGAGTCAGCGAGTATCCATTTGTAAACCAGAGAGTATCCATTTTTAAACCGGCAAGTATCCATTTGTGGAGATCTAGGTGGTTTCTACCTTCTGACCAGAGCTACACTGCCTGTATCTGTTTGAGTCTCTTTTCAGATCTCTGGGGGATAAACGGTTGAGACAGACAAGGCAGATGATGTCATAATGCCAACAGCCCACACAGATGAGTCCAGCTGCAGCCAAGGGGCAGGTGCATGCTGGGTGGGGGCTGAGCGGGGTGCTCTCTCCCTCTGGGCACTCACAGCTGGGAAGTTCACCGTTCGGTCAATGGCATGGCAGAACCAAAGGTGACTGCTGACTTGCAGCCCTGGCTCCCAGCACACATCCCTGGGCCCCTTTGGTGCTGAGGAGGTAGGGGGTGAGGCTTCGTGGGAGGTTCAGGGTGGGGCCTGGCAGTCAGAGCTGGCAGGCTGGAGCTCAGTTTCTTTCTACTCCCTTCCAAGGCGAAAGAGGGCTGGAGTCTGAGTTCATTCACCAAGGGCCTAGGACTCGCCATACCTGTGAACCAACACCTTCTGAAACCTCCTCAGCAGAAGGGGCTGGAGGCCAGCAGGCCCTGGAGGACCTGGGGCTCTGTGGCCCTGAGCACCCCCTCCCTGGCCTCCCTGAGCTGCATGCTTCACCATATAGGGGCAACTGTAAAATACCTCCTGCATTCTGGGAGCTGATCTAGAAAGCAATCAGGCCTTACAGGAGGGCAGATGGGGTGGGCAGGACAGAAGTACAGGGCATTTGGAGGCCCCATACTTGCTACTGGCTTTGAAGTGAGGGCTGTTTCATGGAACTGAGCTTGTAAACTCCAGGGAGCCGGGCTGGCTCTGTGAAGTTCACCTGAGAACAGTACACATCCAGCAGGCACCTGCTGATCATGAGAGGAAAAAACCGAAATATTCATTTAGTGTCAGAGGTGTGGTGACACTGGTAAGACAATGGCAATGGCACAGGGAAGGCCGGGAAGCTGCCCGACAAAACCCACGTGGCACAGGGCAGGCCGGGGACTGGCTGGTAATAAACCCACGTGGCAGGGGGCAGGCTGGGGACTGCAGGGCAAACCCAGGAGAGCAGATGGTGATCTGGGTGACAGGCCACCAGGAGACCAGGATGGCCCGATGGAGCCTGGGCCGCTCTGACTTGTGTAAGGCAGGGTACAGTGCACAAGAGGCACAGGCAGTGGTGAGGGAGACTTCCAGGGTTCCTGTGAGTACAATGAGCTAGTGGAGGCGTGTGGAAAATAACACATCTGTGATGCAAAGACCCACTTTGCCCAGTTCCAGGTGGATAAGCGGATGGCCGGATGGCCAGCTGGATTCTAGAAAGACCCAGCAGAGGGAAGTTGAAGAAGATGCTACCATGTCTAGCCAAGCATCCCACCTGGGCAACAGGCAGGTCTGTAAACCCTTAATGGGGACAGGGGTGTGGGAGGAACAGGAGAAGCAGGAAGGATGTGCATGTGTCTGGAAGGAAGGTGGAGAGCCGACATCTGTGAGAACACAGGGAGCTGCACAGGCAGGACCTCCAGCTGCATTTCAGAAATGTGCAAGGTATTTGCAATGTGTTTGTTTGTTTTGGTCCGGTCGTGGGGCCTGAACTCTAGGCTTGGGCGCTGTCCCTCAGCTCTTCAGCTCAAGGCTAATGCCCTACCACTTGAGCCACAGCGCCACTTCCGTTTTTTTTTTTCTTTTTTGCTTATGTGGTGCTGAGGAATCGAACCCAGGGCCTCATGCATGCAAGGCAAGCACTCTCCCACTGAGCCACCTTCCCAGCCCTGCAATGTGTTTTAATTCCTCTTGGTTTTCTAATGCAAGTCTTAGGGAAAAGCTCAATGAAAACAGAAAAAAGAAGCCATTATGAGAAACTACCTTTGGTGAACCACAGCCCACCCAAAGGATGCCCTGCCTCACCAAGGCTCTGGTGGGAGCTGGTGATAGATAACACGTCTGCAGCCAGTGGGAGGCCTGGTGTGGGGTCTGTTAGGTATTCTGGTGTTGGTTCCAAACAAACAAACAGCAGCTAATCACAGGAAGAGGACAAGATTAACATTCCTTTCTTGCTCCAATCTCAGGAAGGAGAAGCAGATCCCAGGGAGCTAGTCTTCAAAGCGGAGAATTCATGCACGCTGTGATCAGAAGGGAACAGGTAAAGCAAGCTGCGTTTCTCCAGCTTGAGCATCTGGGTCTCCATGCACAAGGCCTTTGACAAGCCTGGGAAAAGATGTTCCCTCCAGCAGCAAGTACAGGGAGAGAACTGGAGACTAAATAATTATGTATTTCCCCTCCTTCTGTTGGAAAGAGTATTTTTAGAGCAACAGATAATCACTAGTATGTATCTCTCAGAAATATGATACAACAGTCTCCATATGTTTTTTTTTAGTTGTGGGGCTTGAGCTCTGGGCCTAGGTACTGTCCCTGAGCTTTTTTGTTCTAAACTAGCACTCTACCACTTTGAACCACAGCTCCACTTCCAGTTTTCTGGTGGTTAACTGGAGATAAGAGCCTCATGTATTTTCCTGTCCAGGCTGTCTTTGAACCATGATCCTTAGATCTCAGACTCCTGAGTAGCTAAGATTACAGGTATGAGCCACCAGTGCCTGGCTACATCAGTACTTTGATTGCTTAATTAATAAATGAGTAAGATGACATTCTGATATCCTAAATTTATAAGACTACATATCCTGATTACAAGAGTAGTTTTGTAGATATAAGCTACACATTGGCAGGGAAGACAGACAAGGGAAAAGTACAAGTTCAAAACAGAAGTCTTTCAACGAAAGGTCCGGGGTGGCATGGGCAGAATGAGGTGCCCAGTTCTGATACTGCCCATTTCTTAAATCCCAGCAGACAGGGAGTCTTAAATGAGTCTATCAGATGCTCCAAAAATGCAATACAACATGGCTAAATCTGTGGTACAGCTTTCAACAGCAGCCTCTACGGCGACCTCAAAGAACACTGCTAAGCAAAGTCCACGAGCACACTTTTACCAGGCATGCACCTGCACTGCCTCTTCAGCAGGCAGTGCAGCTGGGGTCAAGCTTCGTACTGCAAGGGCAGACCAGCCACTGAGGGCACCCTGGGACATACCGCGTAGGGACACACATTGCACACAGACAGCCCAGAGGCCTTCTCCAAACACACAGCAGAGGGGGACAGCAAGAAGCAGATAAACACAGCTCCCATTGTGCCCCGTGGGGCATTTGTTCCGATTACTTCTCGGCTGGAAAAGGAATTCCAGTGCTCTCCCGATACAGAGACAGCTTTTCTCACTACAAAGCGACTTTTGTCTGAGTCCCCCACAAGTGACCAGGTCAGTCTTAGCCAATCTTGACATTTCTATGGACTCTTTCCATCAAATTTTTTTCCAAGTCGAAATCATTTCCTGAAGCCCTTTGAAATCCAAGGAAAACATTGTATAGACAAAATATCTGTTAAGCTCTTTTACATGCCACTCACCATCCACACTCCTCAGGATATTTTACTGTATGTTTTATTTTAAAATCTACAAAGAGGAGGCAGGATGGTTAAACATTATAGAGAACGATCACAGTAAATGCTGAACTTATACTTAACACAGTATTTCATTTGCCTTCTCAGAATATAGAGAGTGACCTCAAAAGTTTTAAAGAACATAGTATTTTCACATCCTTCACAAAAAAATTCAATTTTGATAAAGACTGTTTGGTGCTTAAATTACCACCTAAGCGTCAAGGGATTCTTTCACTTAGTCTTGAGAAAAGACGTGCAAATGTTTCTTCCAAAGTCTATTTGGGAGGCATCAAATTTTTTTCAGACCAAGAGATGGAAACCTATCAACTGAAGTCAGTGCCTTCTTGATGCAGAATTCATCATCAGAGCACTGGACAAGACAAGCAGCTTAAGGAATTGGACATAAATCGTTTAGGTATTTTTTAACCAGATGGGTTATGAACTGTGGGGCACAGGCTGGTCTGCAAAAA